AACTTTATGACGCATTTTGTGGGAAATTGTATAGCAGACTATATGGCTTTTATTCCTAATTTTGCATTGGCAACATTGATATGCAATTCGCTTGAATATGTTCGAAAACCAAAGACAAACCTTGCATATCCAATAGAGGTAAACATTTCATCTAATTTGCACTTTCTGTGGTGTGTTTCAATTACAAAACACACATAATTTGCGCGTGCGGCCATATTTAGGGATTGGCATCGCTCACAGACGAGGAAATAATATTCAAATTGTATTCTTGCTTGCCTATTCGACTTTTGAATTTGAAGAATTACGGCTTTAGTCGCGTATTGAGTTGAGTGATATTAATTGCCAAGTTAATTGCCTTTTGGATGGCTAAAGTCTACATAAGCACAGGTATTTTATGGATTATTTTACTCGTTTATTGTCAATAATCACACATTTATGTGTCATTTTAATGTCGTGACCTGACAATGATTATGATGGAAAAGGTCAAGATAGTCAAGTTGTAACAGTGTAAATGTTCCACCGAAATTACCCAAATATTGTAGTTATAAGGTATTTAGATACTGATAAGGTCACTCTAGTGTATAAGGAACCATTTGAAAAATATAATTTATGAAAAGGGGTTTAAATTTTGGGAAATATCTTCAGCATTTTCTCGACGTGTGGGTTGTTTAATTAAATTCTACACTGTGCTGTGCCCTTGAGACATAAACCCTGTTTACCTTTCTCAACAGAGGTTCACACATATTCTTACTTGCGCCCTATCAGCAATTTATCGTGAAAAAATATTGGCATAAAACATCCCCAGAGGGAAACTGCGAAAAATTGTGTTGAATTTCGACACAAAAGGCGAGAAGATTAAACATGAGCATTCTTCCGGAACACGAGCATTCTCTATGATCGATTCTAATAAAAGGGACAATTATTCTTGGGTGGTTTGTTTATCTGTGGATAAAGGAAAAACCAAACTAATCATACATCCATACATTAAATCCCTAATTTGCCTCAATTATCTTGAAGGTTATTGTAGCACGTGGTGTGTTGATATTATTTTACCAAGTTTGCCAAGAAATCTGTTCATCAACCAAAAGTTCCCTCAGATTCAGATGAGAGGGTGACGTTCGGGGTGAGTAAATTAGGTGAACGTCTGGACACGCTCATCATGCATAAAGTGAGACATCCAGACGAAAAAAAAGTCCATTGAATCGCCCCAAGATATTGCCATCATCCCTATTTTTTCCAAGTCTAGGGAAAATAATCACTCTAGCAGTTGATTTTCCTGGTGTTGAGGGTTAGTCCTCGGGGAAGAAGTCCTCGTGACTGAAATTACATCAACATCCTCATAATTAGGATTTAATTAAATTCATTTCCCCATGACATTTTCGCCAGATTAGAGGCTGGTTGTGTAAGTCTGCGCGACAAGTGCCAACTCGTGCGTTTTATGGCACTTCTTCTTGATGGTATGTCTTTTGGAAAGCCTCTCGCCCGCCTCCGCAATCCTTCGTGTACCTTTTAATGACAGGAAAAAATGCTGGAGGATCGTCAAATACAAGTAATTTCATTCGTCAAACATGGAGTTTAAAAGTTAATTATACCACAAATTTGTTCTTCGTTCGAGACATTGTTTATCTTCATGAAGTTCTCAACTTTATGCCACAACTTCCCTAACAATTCAATTCCTTCGAAAAATGTGAAGAAGAAAATCCTGACGCATTTCATAGACATAGCCGTATATGTAGGTATATTCCAAAAGTTGCACAATAGAAAAATCCGAATCAATGTGAAACAGTGATAAGAAGTCACTTTCAGCAAGAGAAGTACCATGAAATTTGGGTCATGAAAGTGGGGAAAGCCATCGATCCTGAATTCAGTGAGATTTGAATAAATACCACGTTCAGCTGATGATATGCATTGTTTTGAAAGCACAACAGAGAGAAAATTGTCCTAGTGATTAAAACTCTGTATATTGAAAAACACAATGAAATTTTTTGTCCTCTCAATGTCACTTATTAAATTCCAAGTGAGACGTTTTTCCAGTGACAGAAAATCAATGCAAAGCTTCATAATTTGTTGGCGAGGCTCACTCAGGCGAAATACTTGAAAGTCCAATAGAAATTCTCTATCGAAATTTTTCAATTAACCACCTGTTCATGCCATCGTTTAAAGTCGCGAAAGGAGTACTTTACAATAGCCGCTGAGTTTTTAGTAAAATCGAAATTAGACGAAAGTTGGTGCATAATTTCATCAAATTCAATGACTGGAGAAAAAAATTTACGCAAAAATGCATAACTGTCGCCATAGAATTGAAACATCCTATGATAAATTTAGTGTGAAGGAATAAAGCAATTATATTTGGCTTATATTCTAATATGCATAAATGTAATCAATTCTGCTAAACTGATTTATCTCTGCATTGTCAGTATGCATAATCATCAGTAGACTGATAATAAGCACAAATCCTAATTCCATAGCCTTGTCTATTATTCAAAATTTGCATTAGCAACGATATTATAATTTATCATCACTCGTAAAACATATTTGATACAGATACTCCTACTCATTCTGCCGACAAACCATGACCAGCTATGAAAATTTTATTACAGAAATGATGCAATAGGATGTACATAGCATGTCATATTTTTAAACCAAGCTATGTTCTATCTAAACAGCGAAAAAGCGCGTCAGATGTTTAGAAATTGCCATGTGGTTGGATTGTTGTCGATGGTCAAGTGTATTATTTAGACATCATTGTAAATTGATGAAGCATCGACGTTTTTTTTTCGCTGAAGAACATGGAATTGATTTTCTTTTCATATAGTGTGGAAAAAGGGTCTTCAAAGGATGTCTTCTCTTTCGATCCGATGAAAAGTGATGTTATTGAGTTTTAGGTGGTTCATTTGCATTTCATACAGCCTTGCCATGAGGTTTCCAGCCTAAACAGGTAAAGGCATGATTAGAAAATGTCGCCCGGAAGCTATTTTAATTCTAAACCTACCAAATTTCCAATTAATGTGGTAAATTTATGCTTACTTCCAGTGTCATCGTGTCAAAAACACATTTAAGCTTTATCCAATTGATATTAAGCAATTAATATTTGACGAATAAACTGAAAATCACTGTGCAAATGCCAGACGAACTTCCCTCCAATTTCCTCTCACCACCAGCGCTTTTATGTTATGTACGTATCATGCTATTTTCAGAAACTTTCGTCATCACTTTTTTCCCCATTGACGGTGAAGGGAAATTTGCATTTTCTATGAAAAGATGGATTTGGTCGCCCAATAAATATATCTACGTGAAATTCTGGAGTGCCTTCCATAAATAGCCATATGAGAAGAAGAACACGTGGAAGGCGTGGAAATGTCGAAGAAGTCAATTATAACGACACATAGAGTTTTCCCACGCCAATAGAGGAAATTAAAATGACTTTGTGAGGGTGAAATCAAATAGAGGTGAAAGTACTCCCCAATTTACACAAGCATCAAATATGCAGTTTCGCACTGTTTTTGCATCATTTTCACAATTTATTCAATTACCAACTGATGCATAAAGTTCGTGGCATTTCCCATCCAGTTGGACAGTTTTAAGTAAATACCAAAACATTTATTGTTTAGTTTCAGAACTGCAATTAACCGTCTTGCGCATGTAAAAATTTATTAGTACCGATATTTGACCCATTTCCCAATATTCATGACCACAAATTCGATTCTATGGTGCAATGATAAGATATCATGGACGGTTATGTTGCTATTCATGCGAATTTTATGCCACAATGAATGCAGTAATTCGCCTATATGTTTATTGTTAATAAATCCTATAGCAAACTTTCTCTCTAGGGATATTTATTACATAGCTTTGCTCTTGAATTCGTATTACTGTCATAAATGTGAGATTTTCATAAGCACAACACATCACAGTGTGATCCACTAATAGTGCAATTTTGACTCAGACTCCGCCCACACGAATGCTCCACCTATTCGCGCATCTGACTCTGTATTGCATATTTGTGTATTAGTTGCATAAAAAAATATGTACATAGATATGATTTTAAATAACCCGGTGTATGACAATGTCAAATGAAATGAAATTATTACGGATTATTAATGGAATTAATGTCAATACACATTACGTCGCCATTAAATACTATCTCTGCTCTGTCCTTTCGCGATATACATGCGAGATCACTCACCTCTCGCCATCGTCATTGAATGCAAAGTCCCCGAGGAGGAGATCCCGGAAGCGGTAGCGATGTGTCAGCGGCTGAATCCGCGGCACGCCGTCCTGAACGTCGATCAGGCCCTCCTCCATGGCCTGGACGCTGGTATCTGCGCCATGTGTCCACCGATAGCCGCCAGCCGCGGCCCTCCGCGGCCGCGGCGACCTGATGCGAGACCACACTTTGCCGGCCTCACGGCCTCAGGCCCGGACCCATGCCCGAGCCCCTAAGCACACTCCTGCCAAGTCCAGTCACTCTGGCTCTGATTGTTCGTGTCCGTTATCAAATCAAGTTATTTATAGTGGCACATCGATTAATTCACTCTTTCTCTCCTCTCACCACTCGGCACTCGGCCTCGTGGCCTATCTTGGCACACCTGCCACCACTGGGATTCCGCCAATCTCGGGACTCTGTCGGTGGGGACACTCTGGCAAACACTGGATACGCCACGCGACCCTCACGACGAATCATTGATCAGCAACGAGGACCATCAAATCCCATGGATCTGCCGGCAGTGACTGACTCACTGATACTGACTCCAAGCGGACCGCCAAAGCTCTGTCGTCCTCATCAGCTGCCGAAACCATCGTGCGCAGCGTCGCGATGAACCCGCCCGAAGACCATCTGTCGTCGCCCAGAGAGACTCCGGCGGAGCTTTCGAGGTGTCTTGGATTTGACCAAGAGCGCAAAAACTCCTCTTCAGACGCCTCAGCAGACTCTCTTCGGCACTGTATAAAAGCCGCGAATTAACTCAGGAGATTTCAGTGATCAGGAAAACTGTGCAACTATGAAGTCTATTGTGATTGTCTTTCTTCTCTTTGTGGCCCTTGTGGCGGCTGAAGACTTTGAGGAGTGTGCCAAGGAGACGGAGATTACTGAAGAGGAGCTCGCACTCTTCCGCAAGGACGAGTTGAAGAGCACAGATCCCAAAACTCACGTAAGTCGTAAATCCCGGTCGCAATTTGTGTGCAATTCTTGCAGCATCTGATAATGACAGACAAAAACGCACGAAATTGAACGATTTAGTTAACCCTTTAGGGCCGGACAGTCGTAGTTCTTTTTCGGAACTGTTTTAAAATGTCATGGAAAATTTGTTACAATTCTCTTATGGCAAAAAGAAATATTGCGCTTGTCTCCGTCAAAAAGAATTTCAAGAGATATACTGATTCCCAAAACATCGAAAACATTGTAAATTTGTTCTTAAAGCGAGAATTTTCTTTCTATATCCTTTAATTTTCAAATTAAGAGTGCGTAGAGATAGGTAGGAATCGGTTCTAACCACAGTGACTTGCAAAGCTTTTGATTGACTTTTAGAGATTTTTTGAAGGTCAATAAAAAATATGCCATCAGCAAAAACTTAAATGAGCTTCACTTTCGATTGTACAAATATTTGTCAGAACACAAAAACCACATCAAGAATACTCTGCATCATGTTTACTCATCATTTCTGCAATCCCAACAAAAGATTCTGGTTTTTATCTTCTATATTTAATCAATTAATCTCTCAATCAATCTGGACAACTTCCTAGTCAGTAGCAAAAAATCCGTGATACTGATGCCAATTCTTCTTCTACAGTGTTTCGTGAGGTGTATTCTGGGAAAGAAGAATTTCTTTGACGCTGAGGGTCTGCCACAGAAAGAAGTGATCATCAAACACCTCACGGAGAAGAATCCTGACAAGAATGCGAAGGAAATCATGACCGAATGCCTGAAGAAGCATTCCAGCGTTGGTGCAGCTTCTTGTGAAATAACCTACAATCGCTACAAGTGTGCCTACGAGAATGGAATCCTCATTCTATAATGGCTATTCTTAAAATTTGAATTCTCTACAAAATGATTTGAGTTCTGAATAAATTGTTATGAACGTTTGCAAAATTGAAATCTCGTGTGCTGAAAACATCGATATTTCGGGTGATATATCGCTGAATTCCCGTCGCGCGCTGACAATCCACTTGTCAATGTGTTTGTTTTGGTTCTCTCATCTTATTATACAGAGATTTATGATTCTCAGAAAAAGTATTATAAATGCCACTGTGCAGTAGTTCTTATCAGCTGGATTTGTAGTTCACAAGCTCCAGAGTGTTCCTGAACAGTAGTTGTGCCATTTGGTAGTGCCGAATCTCTTGAGAATCTCGAGAAATATCAAGAAAAACATCAGCAGACAATAAGGTTAGCTCACCTTGAATCTCCATTCGTTACCAACACAAGAATATGTAAAAACAGGTGGTAAAATGGAAGAAGTGGTCGTGATTCATGACTTTGCCCGATGACGTAGTGGGGAATTTAATTTAATGACCCGAATTGCCCCGCAAGATCAACAATGCCATCGTCTTGATATCCCAACTCGGAGGCAGACTTTCAGTACTAGTTCTTCCGTGAAACTGTTTGGATCTCAAGATGGGCTTCTCCTCGGACTTGGACAATGACTTCCACTATCCATTCCACTCCCATGAGGACCACTTTGGTTCTCATGAGGACACGGACTTACAATTTCACGACGATGATCACGGTTCTTCCTTTCGGTACTTCCCATAGGGATGCTTGTGTGGGCAGTTTTGTGACTCTGTTTTGTGCTTCCAGGATGGACATCTTCATCCCCATTGTGGTGTGCTTCGTGATCTTCCTCCTCTGCACCCTCTGTGGCGTCTGCTGCAGGAAGAAGCGCAACGCCGGAGCGATATTCTCATGTGAGTACTTTCATTTTATCACAAAGAGAGCTTATCGGCATCTCTGGAAACTCTGCAACAGATCCGCATTCGGAGGTCAATTGCACTTGACACTGCTTTCACTGATGAAATCGACGTGTGATAATCTCTCCTTGTCCCGGAAAATAATAATCAGCGCATTGCTGATAACAGTTTGAGTGAAAAATAGATTCTTACCTTATAAAACGTGCCACAAAATGCTTAGGCTTCGCTTTCTGAAGATTAATTTTATAACCAAATGCAATTCATATCGCAAATCTAATTAGAAATGGCCGCACAACAAACAGTGACAATTGAAGTGACATATTCGTAGAAATCTCATAGATTTCTGTAGAAAAATCTCATCTCTTCACCAGGGAAAACCCCTAATATTCAATTCAGACTGCTCGTGACTCAGACTCTGGATGTTGGCATTACAAATGCAAGAAATTCTTCTAAGGCTTTCAAGGTTTCTCATTACTGTCATTAACAAACAACCGAGTTAATTATGCGGTTTGAATAAAATATAAGACTTGGAATATGCTTCTAATGGCAATCAAGGAAAGAAGATAAGATAGGGAAAAAAGAACATTGATAAACACATGCTCTGTGCAGCTTATGAGAAACTGAGCTTCTGCGGCCAATTTGGAATGTGTTAAACTCGGTTTTTATTAAAGCGAATGTAAGCTTAAATCATCGTAACTTCGGTTGTATTGCTTTTATGTTTAGAAATGTTTTAACATGACCATCTAAGAAAAATGTTCGATGTATTTTCTGCTTGCTCAATTTCTACGTTTGTCAAGAAAACTTCTTATATTGAGAAAAGTCTCACAATTTTTAAGGAGCTTTTGACCTAGCTTAAAATCGGATAAAATGCATTATCTTATACTCAAGATGAAGACAATATTTGTCAACTTTTCCTACGTTGTGTTACTCAATTATGTAGTGTAAGATTTTGAGATGTTAAATTTCATCTGATTTTTGACTTGGAAATTTAAGACAGGATTTAGTGTCGATAGATGACAATCATTATCCAACTCTCTAATAATCACCAGGATGGTGAACTGATAGTGTTATCATAGTATGTCTGATAAGCGTGGATCCTGAGAGTTGTTCATAAAATAACTTGCAAAGTTTGGTCGTTGAATAGTATCGGTGTTTCTCCACAATGTTCACATTCACTGTTTTTCTCATCTGTGTGGTGATTCTCTTTTTCCTCCCGCTGATCTGCTTCCTAATTGGCATGTGTCTGAGGGCGTACAAGTTCAGGTATGAGCAGCGCACCACTTATGGAGGTGAGTGCACTGGCCAAATGGTGGCAGCATCAGTGACTAATCTGAGATATTCCCAAGTGTTCAATGATGACGCACACATTCCCAGATGAAAGTGAACGGAATTTTAGTTTAGCAATGTGGTTTTCCTGTTTTCTTGATTCCTAAAATTTAACTCACTTCAGCAAATCAGTGTGACGTGTCTGACGAATTCATCTAATAAGGGCGCATGCTAGTGCAATGCAATATCTCTTCGATTGCTACCCGCTCTCCTGGGGAACTGATAGTGTTATCGTGGGAAGGCCTGATAAACACGAGTCCGGAGAGTTGTCCATAAAACAACCTGGAAAGCTTGATGTTGAGTAGTATCGGTGCTTCTTCACCACGGCTACAATGTCGCCATTCACGGCTTTCCTCATCTCTGGACTGATTCTCCTCTTTATCCCACTAATCTGCTTTCTGATCTTCATCTGCATGAGGGCATACAAACTCAGGCATCAACAGCGCACGATATATGGAGGTGAGTTCACAACTCACTGGCCAACATTAGACTTTTCGCGGTTTTAAATTCCATCCTCTATCTTCAATGCCTGTCTGACATTCTAACATAAAATGTTAAAAGGACAATTTATATTTGTACCCTTTCTCTTGTGAGATTGCCTAATCTGACCGATTTGACGGTGTCGTGATCGGTGCCTTGTTCATTGCCAATCATCCGCACTCTATCGTGAGATCAATTGAGTGTGCGGGAATTTTTCCATTTATCATCACACTAAAACCCTGATAAGATAGGCGGGAAATTGAGCTTGAAAGTAAGGCTACAGAGCCACTTTTCAAACATTCGCACGATAGTCAGTGAGTAGAGCTGAGCTGAAAAGTATTCCCAACATTCATCGACAGTGAGAAGTGATAGTGCAGAGAAATGGAGTGGTGGGCCTGGATGCTAATAACGATAGCCATAGTTCTAATTTGCTCTGGAGTCTGTGAGGGTGGAAGACGATATCACAGTCGTGGCGCCATTATCCATCCCAGTGAGTGATTTCTGCTTCACAAACTGATAAGAGAATGACTTTTCTCACTTCAACATGTCGCAATAGTTTCATGTTTTTTCTCAATTGATAGTCCTGTGGCCCTTTATCTTATCAATTGGAAAGTCATTTTGTAATGGTGGTGAAACAGTATGATTCAGCGGGTGTTATGACGTTAATTAGATTGTGTCTCAATCTCATCCATTATTGCCATCTCTAAGGCGAGATTAAAATGTGGTTGAGCGCGATTAGATAAGATGGTCGAAGTGTCTAAGGAAAAAAAGTTAATGAACGATTTTTCCTCTTCCTGTCCACCGTTTCTGCAAAAGAAAATCTTCCATTTCGTCGCTTGCGGCTTAGTTTCTTGCGTGACGTGATTTGTGATGGAAGAAGCTATCGTAATTGCTCCTCTGATTGTTACAATTTCATTCATTCTCTGCGTAATATGCACAATGGTTGGTCTCTTCGCTGGTCAGCATTACGCTAAAAAGCGCCAAAGTTCAATCTGTGAAAGTTAGTGTGTTTTTTCAAGTCATTTTCTTCGTAGTGTACTTGATAAGTTGTTGTAAAGTTATTCAAGAAGTTTGCAGTGAAAATTTAGAATGTAAATAAAGCTTTTTCTGTTGGCAATTTCAGACAATTGATTTTTCAAGAGCTCCTTAGTCAACTTAAGCTAAAGGAAATCGATAGAGCGAAGTCTTTTGGTTCTGTTTTGTTTCATTGCAAAAATTATTCCTTGAATGAGGCATATAAACCAAATCAGGCGGTGACATGGCTATGAAGGGAGCAGCACAACTTAAATTACAACTTTAGTGTGCAGCTCTGTCGTACTTTCCCTTTTTCCTGAAGTATAGTGCGATTAGATTAGCAATGGATTGTCCATAAATATTTTCTTGTCGAGCACTCAAGATTGCTCATTGATAGCAATCTTGGTGTGAGTCAATGGTGGAAGATGAGTTTTCTTATTTCTCCCAACGCAAATAAATTCTTCATTAATTTCCTGACTGACGTCTTTGGGTAAATTCTGCAATCTCCGCAAAATGTACACTCACAGTTGAAATCGCTGATAAAATTCCTCATGGCGCAACAAATTATGAGATTAGATAGACACAGAGACTCGTAAAATTGAGGGATTTTGCCCGGTTTCAGTCACAAAAGCGTCCGTCGTGAGGAAATTACCTTTGAGAAAAAGTGTTGTTCTCTTTTTTCTGGGATATTGCATTATACACGGCGAATTATGGATTTGTGGCTCTGGATGGTCTCCGCTTCAATATCCTTGATAATCCTTTTCTTGTTCTTTGTGATCCTTTACTACGCAATTCGTCGCAGAAGGAGAAATTGTACATATCTTTCCATTTAAAATTCTCTATGCTTCTTTGGTCGCGATAATCACAGTTAATTTTGGTGTGAATTACTCATTGGTTTGATAAAGTCAAAGTTGATTAGATTGTGTTGAGGATCAGTTTTCTAAAAGTGGAATTCCCTGGCAATTTGTCAAACTCTCTTGCATTGATTTAGTGGTGTTTCTGTGAGTGGATATTCATAAATATGGATTTGTGGATTATTTGCCTGATTATCACGGGAAGTGTGATACTGCTGTGCTTCTTGGCTGTCGGCGCGAAGAAGTGTTGCGACGCGAGACAAGAGCCAAAGTATCACTGTTAGTTTACGTAATTTTTTATTGACACGTACAGAATATTCCCATCTGATTAAATATGGAGCTTAAAAGTTAAGAGAGGGCGGGATTATGTTACATCCACAAGAACATCTCTAAGATATTTTTCACAGTTTTTGAAGGATATTTCAAATTATTCAGATTGTGCTTTAAAAGAAATAAATCTATGATCAAACGTTGTATGTTATTTACATAAATATCGGAAATATGTATCATAATCTATAGAGTAAACAGTGCAAAGATTTGATTTACTGCCTTTTACGATTAGATATGGACTCTTGTATCTAATATGTTTATGGGAAATTTGAACCACAGAAATTGCAGGATTTCGTTGACTCTGATTTCAATATGACAGAAATAGAAGAAATCGCTCGCTTCTTTGAGATGAGAATTTCTTATTGACAAGTCTGTTTTTATGCCTAAAATAGAGCATTGATTTAATCTAATCTACCATGAGCTTATATAAATGTCTTTTTGGTTGTCAAGAGACTTTCTTTGTGGGCTATTTATTGTACAGTTGCTCTGAGTGTTTGATGTTTTAACGTTTTCTCTTTCTGCTCTTTTCAGCTCCCGTCATTGTGACCTCATCCACCCACACAACGGCCGCTGGCCCTTATCCAGTGACTGTGGCTGTTCCTGCCGCCACGATACAGCAGACAGCCGCGCCCTATGGCCAGCCGGGAGTCTATCCGATGCCACAGACTGGCTATTCAGCGCCTTATCCGCCTGCACAGACCCAACAGGCAGCAGCTCCTTATCCGCCCGCCTCGGGCGCCGGCTCGAGCATGCCAATGCCGGGCAATCCAACCGGCATGAACCCGCCATCGTACGACCAGGTCGTGGGCAACGACGCCTACCAGAAGCAGTCACCCTACAATCCCAGCTACGGTGGCAACTAAGCTGTGTCTCCTCAGATAAAGCAGTGACTTAATGTTACTTCAAGTGGTGTTTTCTCTGCATTTTCCCCACAATCAGTGTGCGTCTACTAAGAAGGTTGCCTACAAAACAGCAGAAATACTATTTCTATCTTCCTTTATCTGTCTTCAAAAGTATTTTCCCAGAAATACTCCCAAGTTTTCTTTCCCAAAAACATAAACTTTTCAAGTTTACATAAAAAAAAATAGAACATATTTTGTATTGAAATTTATGGAATATTGCGAAGGATAGAGATTTTGATGGGTGCCTTGAATTTTGATAAGAAGCACCCTATACAAAAGAGTGATAATTTATTTTTACTTACCATTTATTTTCTACCATTAAAACACTAGATAAATATAATCAAAATATACCAACACAGATTTGATGTTTCTATTGGCATTGTTGAGGCTACAAATGACTCAAGTATTTTGGAATTATTGATGCCTTGTGGGAAGAGTTTATGGCTCTGAAAAGAAACCACAAGTGGAAAACGATGTTGAAATGATGTTTTTCATTAGCCATAAGTTTCTTGAATTTATAGTCATTTTAAGTTTAAAGTTCGCTTTAAGTTGATTCACTGAAACAAAGTGTGTAGAAGTATTTTGAATGGATTTAAATAAATGAGTATTTAAAGAACATGGTCTATTTGTCATTTTTATTGGAATTCATGATACATTTTCATAGAGAATCGTATTCGCTATCTTACGACAAAACTTTCCATGTAGTTTAAGATATAAGTTTTCATCAATGACATTTTCCTGTGGTCCATTAATTCTTTCAAATCTATATCATAAAATGCATTTATTCTGCCTGTCACTCAATTGAGAATGACACACACACAGCTAAATTAATAGCAAATCTTACGGGCTAACAATAAATTATCTCTCTCCTAATATGCAAATGACTTCCTCTTGCCTCCAATTTATATTTCACTTGCACGCTTCTTACACTTCCAATTGGTTTTCTTTTTAGTATTCTCTTGTCATTCGCATTCCGACAATGAAGACTTCTTTCTCGTGGTGTTTTGATTCAACTCTGAATTTGATTATTGTATTTGTTCCGTGACAATGCCACGCACAATTTCCATAATTTCATTGGGATTAATATCGATATAGAGAATATATTTTACTTAAAAATACTGCCTTGATTTTATTGCACACGCACACAATTTCCATCTTTTTGATCCGATTTCTTCAGTCTCTCGATAAAATCATCTTTTCATCGTCTTTTCTTTGGTTGCATTCACTAGATTTTATTGGATTACTAATTAAATGGAATTTAATGCAGCAAAAAACTGAGATTGAAGTTTTCGCAAAAAAGTTCCTATTTCGCATGACTTACTTATTGATTTATTATCTATAAAACATTAATCTGTGCATATTTTATTTGAAGAAAAAACTGAGAAAAGAAATAATTGCACGTTATTTGGTAGTGAAAAATCTTACTTAACAAATTATATATACAAAGTTAACAAAGTGTTTCACAGTCTAAATTAATACATAACATAAAAAAGTTTATAGGGGAAAACAGGGCAATTTGTGAATATGATCTGGGGCACTGCAGAAGACATTCTAAAAATTATTCTTCAGATGGAGATGATTATTTTATTAAATTTTGCATACGGAAAATCTCATTGTTTTATAAGTACGTGTACTTATAATTGGTATTCACAAACTGTCCTGCTTCTCCCAAAGTTCTTCAAATCGAATTCTTCCCGCCTGAGTATTCAAAGAAATTATATCTGTTTCAATGGATTGATTGAATTTTTGGGATGTTCAGTACAAAGACAGTGTTTCTGGAAAAAATCCTCTTAAAATTGTTTTGGGTAGAAAGTCTTTGGTCAAAACCACGGTTATTAAAACCTGTGTCATAAGCAAAATACCTTAAGAACGTTCGGTGCCAGAATTGAGAGAGAACCGATGAGTATACAGAATTACAGCTTGGGACTTCTCCGGGGCGAGTAGCCGGTGGCTGAGGGGGCGAAAACCCCACTCCTCGGACGCTATACGGGCGCTGCCGCGATGACGTCAATGTCACTGATGCTCTTCACTCGGCGATGCTGTCGAGGAAGAGTGCAGCCCACGGGCGCCGACTCGGTGGGGGGCGCACTCACACGGTGGCTGGGCAGCGAAGGGGGTGGCGTGGTGGTGGGCGGCTGGGGCGGCGGCTGAGTGGGTGGCGGTGAGAAGAAGGACCCCACCGTGGCGTAGTCCTCGCTGCTATACGAATTCGTGGGCGATGTGGGATTGAACAGCTTTTCCGGGCGTGTCTTCGTGAAGCCAAACACCTTCGATAGCGAACTCTGTGGTGTGGAGTGTTGAAGGCACATTGAGAGGAAGAATTCTTGGTTTTCTTTTGCATGTGCTTGACTTACCTGTGATCCTCGCCACGTGGCAAACTGATTATAGTGAGATTTATGGCATGATGGACAAAAAGACAATTACTCCCCATTCAGTGATTGAAGGATTGTTGATGGATTGATTGGATTTCATTGCACATGGATTGCTTTATGATTTGAGCATTACCTTTACCTCTAAAAAGTTATACAAAATTGAGAGTCGTTTTTACACTATTTACATCGCGCTCTCGTGATGATTTCGATGTGATGATGTAATGTTTTACAAACCATATCTTCTGGGTCTTCTCACTCCTTAAGGGAGTTTCTCTAGTATTATAGTGTTTTGTGTTATCTTGAGGAATTTTTTTTTCTCTTTATAAATTCGTGGAATTTTTTCACAGATTTACATTGAATATCAATTTTAGGGAAAATATAGGATGGTTCAAGGACTTTGAACCGGAAGATAGACATTTTGGCAGTGGATTGCAGACCCACCAAAGCACAGAAAATCTAACATTGATCTGACCAACATTAAGTATAGTTCATTGAGTGACAGTGCAGTGAAAGGTTAGTTACATAGACAATTGAGTGTAAATGGCAGTCACATGCAGCAAAGAGGGATTTCAGTGGCGCAAAATGAAGCTCCGACGAGGATTTACCTTTCTCTCTGCCTCATGGACCGAGACAATCAAAGGACATGAGGATGGAAGATGTGATAATGTGGAATAGAGAAACATAAGACTCACCCTGAGACTCCCGGACGTCTTCCGATCAATTGTTCCATGGTGATGCAATCCTCCGGATCCAGTAATGGGAATAATTTGTCCACCACTACGAATACCTTGGCCCAGCGTGGCTCTAGATGCGAGCGAAAACACAACACATTTATCAAATCAACAAAATATTCTGTGGTCTTGAAACAAACAACAGAGAAAGAGAGAGATGAAAAAGGTCAGAAAAGCGCAACGACAATCTCATTTGCTCGTTCTCTCCAGAAAATGTTGTGAATTTAGTATGAATTTATATGTAAATCATATTCCTATAGCTTTGGCTACACAGATTTTGGATTGAGTGGGAGAAAAGTGAGAAAATAAACAGGTAAAACGCACGGGCGTAGCTAGAAACTTCTGCATAACTGCGATGGTTCTTTTCTCACTTTTCCCAGTTATAGCGTGTAGGCTGTGAAGGAGACAAATGAGGCAGGAAATCCTAACACATTCGCCAAAAATGAAGGCAGGTGAAATGAAAAATTGAAGAAAACATTCAAGGAGAAATGTGCTTGTGAGGGAATTATTCATAAATCTTTTCACTGACCGAAAAAACGGCGAAAAAGAAGTGGAACTTCCTTTTCGTCTGTTTATATATTCCTTCTGTAATTGCGAGAGACTAATACATGGAAGGCACACACAGAACTGGAAGGGAAAGTCATGCATTTCTTCTTGGCTCAGGGATTACATTAAAGCTTACATTTGATGGACTTTTTCCTGCGTGTGAGGTTTTTTTTATCGTTATTCGCCACAGTGAAGCGGAAGAGAAAGATTTTAATTAAATTCTCAACGCTTGAACTTCCTTTTTCTTTGCATTTTGGTGAAAGACAAGGGAATTTCCTGGAATTTTCTCATCTGTCCTCTCACACCTGCACACATTTTCCTCAATTTTTCTTCATCTTTCACCATACACAGTACGCGAAGAGACAAAAGACATGGAGAGAGCATGTAGACTCGATCCTCCCTCCATGTCTTCCAACCTCCGCATGAGAGACAATGAATTTTCGGAAGTGATGAATAGAAAGAGAGCAAACATGAGACAAAATGTGCGAACGTCTTATAAATTCTGGCGCTAACCATTAATTTAGCCATGGTAAGAAGAGTAGAGAGAGGCAATTAAAAATGGTGTGAAGATGCAGAGAGAGAACAAGTAAAGCAATTTTTAATGAGCAAATGGCATTCTTCTTCATGAACACAATGATGAAGTGGAATATGGAAAGGTCGGAGGAATTTTCGCAATTTTCCTATTAGTGGGTTTGGTGTTGTTTCTGTGTCGTGCGGGTGAATAAAATGTGGTTCCTCCCCCTTTTCACCAACAGAAAAAAATGAGATCTATGATGATAAATCAACAATTTGTGCTGCGATGTGAATGGATATTCGTTCTTGGTCGCTCAATTTGGCCCACCGAGAAAGTTTTCTCTCTACTTGAACTTCTTCTCGCCACCACCGCTTCCGCCACGACCATCGAGAGGCTCGTCCACATCACAGAACAGAACATACCTGCGTGAAGGGGGAACAACACAATATTTGCATGAGGGAAGTGTGAGGATGAAGTCTTTTTCCAACTCAATTTCCTCTCTTTCTCTCCAACTCTTCCTGCCCGGCCCATTTTTCTGCCAATTCTTACCTTGCTGGCAGCACCAGAGCATCGAATTCGGCCGTTAAGTGGCGCCGGATGATATTCTTCGACGGCGGAATCCCGAGTGCGGTGGCCATTGTCTCGCCTGAGAAGGAAGGCTCCAGGATCACGAGACCACCGTGAACGCCACTGTCTGAAAAGGGGAAAGGAAAACTTAGGCCAACCAGAGAAGTTTTGTCAAATAAATGTTCGTCTTACCTTTCAAATTGTCCGCATATTCGGCGAGGTCAATAGATCTGACCCACCGAATGAATCTCTGGTTTGTCCACACAATTGGATCTGAATCCAGACTCTCAGATTGCAATCGTCGCATAGCCAACTCCTGGCGATCGTATTTGATAATCCGTAGAACGTGAATCCCATGAACGATGCTCGCCTGATGGAACTTCCTTGTCACGCCCAGCATCTTTTCCAGCTCCTTCTTCGACAGCGTGTCCAGCATTCGAGCGTCCACGAGTGAATGTATGAAGGACTCTGCGTACTGTGGAAGTCCGATGTCCGGCAGCCATTCCGATGCCACCCATCTGCAAGATAAAACAACACTGTAATTTTCACAAATCGATGCAATTACTGAATTTGAATATTTGCCAATTTGTACGGATTCCCATGCGAACACATGGATTGATTGTAATCCAATAAGCTCGCTTGAGGTGAAAGTACTTTTCGCGCGCGCAAATATCGGTTATCGCACTCAGTGTAAAGAGATTTCAGCGCCCGCATGGATTTTGTATCAGTGACTGAGTTGATACTCACGTGTGTCCTAGTTGTCCTATTGTAGGATAACGAACAAGATCCGGCCGTCGCTGTTCCTCAATCGCCAGTCTCATTTTCTTCCTGTGCATCGGATGACTGAGTCCTAAGCCAGCTTCCAATTCTGCATCCGACAATTCCAGCAGAACTTTTCCGCTCTTCACATTCTCAGAGCACCGAACGCTGTACTGTGGCATCCCGAGAGCCACTTCCAGCCAGGCCAGCACTTGGGAAGCCCGCCAGCGCTCCATAGGAGCCGCCGAAGCCTCCCTTAAGAGTCTCAGCTTTTCGGCATATCCCTCCTCGGTCAGAGGACTCCATCCACTCTCCGCTATTGTGGCAGTGTCCGCCTCTTGGGATGCATTCCGAGCTCTCTGTCGCGACCTGGCGAAGACTTTGGAGATACTTCCCCAAGTGCTGCCTCGGCCTGAGCGTCCCAAAGTCCCTGTACCCTTTCCCGTCAGCCGACGACCCAGGAAAGTGCTCCCATCTCCGTCCAGAGAGGCTCCCAGTTGCTCAACTGAGCGACTGCCCAGGCTAGCGTCCGCATTGTCCACAGAACGCGAGAACGCACTGGAGTTCAGGGGTGACAAAGTTGGGCTGCGCTCCTTCACAGGCGTTCCATCTGCCATACATACACATAAAAAATCAATTCCACCCCCATTCTGAGAAATCATAACAATTTGTTACACATAAATCTCGTCTGTTCAATTTTAATGAGTATGGGCCTGTGTGGGTGGCAAGGAATCCGTGCAGATGTCAGTTTCTGGCATCGTATAATTATCTATTGTATGGTAATTGGTAGATAATTTGAATTTGCTCACATTGATACATGTTGTGTTGACTAGAGACGAGTGATATGTTATCTGGGTCCATTGTGAGGCACATCCCATTCTCGCACGGACCGTCGCTCAGGTTCAAATCGCCGGCAGCACTATCCTTATCGCTGTTGCCTGCATTTTGCAAATAGAGATTCCACATGAGTCGCCCTTCTTTCCTCTGGCATTTGGGGTTTTGTGTGCGCATTGTGAGTAACATTTCCCCCTATTTTACTGTTTGCTCCCGAATTTCTGAACGATTCCCACTCAAAAGTGCTTTAGCTCTACATAAAAGCCACTTTGTAGCAACTGCTAAAATAGCAAGAGCTTCCTGGATCAAAGATTTGTCATCCACCACTAAAATACACCGTGTTCTGTATCTCCACCGTCGAAAATTTCCAACTCTGGGTGGTGGAAAGTATATATATTTTTCATTTTGACGAGGAACTAAAGAGGAAAACACCATGTTTCATTCATTTTGCTCGCTGGTGCTGGGAAACTCTCAACTTTTAATGCACCCCAATTTGCCCGCTGGTGGGAAAAACAGCAAAGAAATCACCCTCATCCCAGCACAACACTTGCCACAGAGCGACTATGGCAAGCCACCGACGATACACATATACGTATGTTCATAGTGGGATGAGACGGCATTATTGGGGGAAATTATGCGACTCTGCAGTGTAATTTTTCCGCAAAATTCGCACAATGAAGGGTGAGTTCTGGCGGGCACTCAGAAAAAGAACCACACAAATTGCAGCTATTTCAGCTAAAATGATAAACCAAATATGGTTTAATTATTCAAAATAAGCCCCTAGAGAGAGACCGGCAAAATTCATTGCGACGCGTCTGTACGGAAAAAAGCATGGGATGGAAAATTAATTATAACCAATGCGAGTCGAAATTCATTAAAAGACCCCATTTGTATTAATTTTCCATTCACAATTTATTGATGTTTAACCGCGAAAAGAAATTTTATGGCAGGTTTTCATTAATTAAAATAAAGTGATTGATCAGAAGAATAGGTATGAAACGTTACTAAGAATGGTGGAGCTATCAGGCTATTTTGGTGTTTTTGACATAGCACATATTTGATCAACAGTTTGGTTGATGGCTAACTGAGCGTTACTGGTTATCTACATTCCCATATTCAAACATTTTGAGCAGGTGAAACATGGTCAGATGCAGTTATTATTGACAGCTTTTCACTAATTCCTCACATTTCACGAGTTTCACGTATAGTGTTTTACCTCGTATAGCCACTCTTATTTAGTCAGTTAGCAATTTTACCTCTCACTGTGGAATCACTCGCTGTCACGCTGCCCGGAAAACCTCCGGAGAGATGGGAGAGGAGACCACTCGACGGTGGTGTCAGCGGTGGCGGCATGGATATGAGACTCTCCTGATCAGACATGCAACCCGACAGTTGACGTCTTGCCTCCTGCAATTGCTCTTGTGTCCTCTGGAGTTGCATGTCCCTGGCATTCAGCTGAGCTGCGAGCACCAGTGATCTTTCCGCCTCATCCCGGGCGTGCTTCATGAGTGACCATCGTTCTCGTTCTCTCTCACTGGTCATCTTGAGAGCCGTGGACTCATTATCCCTGAGTCTCTGCTCATAGTTCCGAATAAAGTCTCTCAATTCCTGCTCCTTGTCGTGCAGAGAGGCGCACAACTGCTTCACATGGCGCAGCAAGTCCGCCTTATCCGTTCGCAGTTTCTTTCTCTCGGAGCGCAGATCTGTGAGGATTTGAGGAGTTAGAAATCACTTTCTTTGAAGTCAAGAGGTGGGGTGTTTCTCCTTACGTGCAATCTGTTCTCTCGCCATTCGCAGCTCCACTTCGAGGCGTTCCATCCGGCTGGAACCGCCGTCCGTGGAGTGAGCGTCGAAGCTGTTATTGTCCGATAAATCGATCCCACCAATGGCACCATCAGGCGAGATTTCCAGCAACTTCTTCAACCGATTTATCTCGGCGGAGAGGCGCTGATTCTCCACCTTCAGCTTCGATGATTGCGGTGAGTCTGGAAAGTTGAGAGACGTTCTTGCATAATGTATATATTATAATTTCGGCAGCTGAAAAGCTCACCCAAGTCATCGAAGCTGTCTTGATCAGGCTTGTCTACTGTCGTTCTGAACGAATCCACGGTATTGTCATCTTTCCCATTGAGGGTATCAGTTTCTCCGTGACTGTTGTTACCATCCTCAGTCGCCTCATCTCCATTCTCCTGCTCCGCGACACTCTTCACCGCGTCCGGCGATGGACTGGAGACGGATATGGCATTGTTCAGCTTCTGAGATGGCCTCACATTGCTGGTGGCATCCAACTTTGGCGCTTTCTGAAATGTGTCACCCAATAAATGAGAAAGTTTCCCATTCATGAGCCACCCCTTGGGAAAATTTCCCCGGGAAACAGGTGTCTCTCATTTCAATATTGTCTCAGGCTGTTACACAAAATCCCGCCCTTATCTTCTCTTTCTGGAGGTGAATGATCTATAGCGAAGGAAGTCCCGTGAGAGTGTGCAAAAAATGATATTAAATTTTATTCCTTCAGCCAGATGTGAGACGGGAATAAATTGCTTTACCCACTGAATCAAGCTTGCAAAAGACACGCCAGGAATTTTTATTTACATTAAAGTTGTCGATTTCTCATGCACTTCAAGTTGCAGAGGAAGTTTCATCGGCACGTAATCAATTATATTGATGCTTGCTAAATAAGAGCAAAAATCATGGATTTAAGTAATTCCATTTCCTCTCACAATTTCACTGACAACCGGATTAAATCCATTCATCGGAAATACAAACATTTCCCGTGACTTTGGTTTTTCGCCATTCTGGCATGTCTCCAAATTTGTGAACAATTTGCACTCTCTCCCAAAGGTAATATTTACTCTTGGCGCTGTTACCGCACTATAAATTGATCCGGTAACCCAAATCCCGAATATCATCCCAATCAGGCTTCGGAGATCAAACCATGCGCAAATTTTTTAGCATCTAAACTCACCGATTCTGTGGAGATTTGCTTAAGAGATGCGTTGATTTTATCAGGATTGCGAGGAGGCGGTTCTGGTGGTTCAGAAGCGGCCATTGTTGTGCACGAATTTCCATTTATTTGCATCGAGCACCCCTTCAGTTCTTGTCTGATGCTTCAAGTAAAACAGCTTTCCGTGTATTGTCCAACATGTGAGGATAAAATTTCACCTGGAAATAGTAGAAACACACACTTTTGTAATAATAATCCTCTTTGTTCTCCTCATTTATCGTCTCGCGAGTGCTTTTGTCGCTAAAGTTCCTGTAATTCCCAATGCTCTAAGCCAAATAACTCTTTAAATTCCAAATTGTTTTGCATTGCGTGACACTGGAAAATACGTTTGATTCTCCCCTCGAAATTCTCGGGACGCTTTTCCATATCTATTTGCGCCTCAAATCGCTCTCCGCTGGAAAACTCATTCTCTTTCATAAAATTGGTTTTTAACAATATCCCACCCTCTCGACATTGCCTAAGAGACTGAAGGTCTGAACCCTCTCGCTTCGACGAATGGTGTCGTTTTTCAGGGTGGCTCAAGTGCTCGCCTCCTGCTCTACATGTGATACACAACATAACGAGGATAATAATGATTATGAGTGTGAAGAAGTCATTCACTGGAACACCACTTAAAAGGGACAATCGAGGGGTGGAAATCTGGTACAAATTATTTCTCTAAATATTTTCTCTGTCATTTTTTCGCTGAAAAGTACATACTTTTTACACCCCTTTTCAGCCTTTTTAAGTCTGGGAAATGATGATTTCCACATATTATTGATTTTCACTCACAGAATTTGGTAGCATTTCAGCAAACAAGCAATATTCAATTTCAATTAAAATAATTTCCACTTAATGGAGTAAAATTTGGCGAAAATTAATTAAAGCCTCCCTCTAGCCTTCCGCAGTAAGAATGCAATTATTGATAAAGTTTCATGTCCAAAACTTTGCAGGGCTTTTTCAATGCAATTAATAAAATAACAATTTTATAATTGTTTTTCGAAAATTTAATCACTACCAAATGAGGCACTTATCAGGAAGTTTGGGCATAACAGAAGTGTGGAGAACTTCCTAATTTATTAATTGCACAAAATATACATTGAAAAGCTTCAATGGAAAGCTCTCACGCCCATTCAATATACCAATGAATGGGGAAAAGCAATTTGCTGGACATGAAGGGAGAGAGAGAGAGAGAGAGTTTTGAAGTTGAGAATAAATTTTCATTTAACAGTATGAATTTTGGGGCGCTGTCAGTGACTTTGATGAACATGGAAAATGCGCCCCAGAGGAGTGATTTTCGTCCACGGAAAAGCATCGTATAGCCCAAAATATACTTTATTCTCTCAATCGCTTGAGAGATTGGGGAGTCTCACCATGAAAAACACATCAAAATTCAATTACAAGTCAGTTGAAGAGGGCAATGGAGCCATTACATTTTCCGCCCCCGCAAAAATCTTTTCTCACTCTCACAATATTTTCCACCTGCGTTTCAATCAACCTTTATCGCTGTGTAATATTTGTCTGCCATCAGTATTTAAAACATTTTTTTTGTACGTCTCTTTGCGATTTCTCTCTTGGTGTGTATTTTAACAAAATCGAGTTCGGTATTTTGAAAATGAACTCATTTCGGGATGCAATTGGGATAAATTTATATATTTATTAAGCCATATACAAACAGCAAAGGGTATCTAAGCTAACTTTCAATGTTTGAAAACTCGAGTTCAAAAGATATACTTAAGGCCAACATGGGGCTTTTCCCATTGAGATAGTGATGAAAATGAAGCGATAATAATCTTTCGTAAATGCTTCCTTCGATATAGATAGGAACAATTCCAGAATCTTATCACTGCGAACTTTGATGAATCGCTAACAAAAGTGCTACATTAAATCCTGACCTCAATCATTGGAATTCACTTCAGCCTCACAATCCTCACAATACAGTTCAAACTATGTAAAACTAAAGTTTCCCTCTCTTTTAATCACTTAGTTTGATTGGTATCGATCGATTTTCTAATTGCATTTGCGACTCTCCGCAATGGATTTTTTACCCAACTTCACACACCGAGATTGCGGATGAAAAGAATGTCTCGTATAATTCAATCATCAGTCCAACTAATGGCAGCCTCTAGAGCAATTTGGTGCTACTCTTCATCAATTTCCTCTCCATCAATTTACATCAAAAGAGTTCGTATTTATGCGCTGAGAAATGCTGTCGCCACTCAAGATATCACAGACATTGTGAGTGGCATCAAAAAAGGTCACATACCTTTTGCCAGAAAAAAAGAGAATACGTGCACAATTCAGCTGACCAGGAGAAGGATTTCGAATTCCAGGGGCGCAGAGTTTTCCATAAATTGAGGAGGGTGAGAGAACGGAGTGTTTCAACCCCCTTGTTTTACTCACAATCTATATAATAGCATTTCCTCGTGATATCTGGCAATCGAATGCAGCCCCGAATCTCACCCCAACTGCACAATGTCTGTCGTGGAAATCGGCGGAGGGAGATTTCCCTCCTGACGATGACTCATCGCTCCCTCCCATCCTGATTACTATACATATTATAGGAAATTCACCTTCGAAAGCGCACAAGTTCGCATCAAATCAATACTATTGTTTGGCAGGCGGGATGCGTTTTGCACTAATGCTGATGGAATGCTTTGAGATTGCTTATCATTTTAACCTATTAATCAGCCAGAGAGCTACAAAATTACCTTGCATGCAGTTTAACAAGTTCCACTGCAAAAAAATGATTCACACAGAAGTTTTTTTTATGCCTCTTTCAGGGTGCTTATCTGCGATCTGGAGGTAATCATGCAAGCACACAGAATACCCCAAAAGAAGGTTCATGAACCCCGTTCAATGGGTAAAAAATTTCACAATGGAGCCTCCATTGATTTCTCTGTGGCACACTAAATGAGCTTGAAAACCCCCTTCTCGACGTCAGTCGCAATTTGAGGACAATTTAGTAATCTTTTGTAATGAAATCAGAATAGATGACCTTTTTCTCTCTCGATTTGGGCGAGTGATGGCGAAGAGCCGTGGCATATTGAATTAAAAGTGATTTTGTATGAGTCTTTTGTGTGAATTTTCATTGTTAGTCGCGAGTCATTTTGTAACTCATTTCCACTCTTTTGGCCCAAAGTTATGGCATTCCAAACACACTCATCAGCGTTTGGTGTGAAATGCGAGTGAAAGAAGAGAAAAGAAAAAAACAGATAAGTCACTTCCTTCCGCTCCTTCAAACACCCAATTTTACGATGCCTCAGCTAATTGCCTCTTTTCTTATCATTTTTCGCGAAGAGTGTGATGACCTCATAATTTGGATTCTTCCCAAAATTCCTCTCTGTAACATTTATGCGACCTTCACGCCCGAAATTGCGTTCTTCTGAAGGGCTCTTCGTGCGTGGGAGGATCGAAAAATCTCGCCATTAAAGACGTTAAAGCGAAGAGGATGGGAATGAGGAGTCACTGAATGGAATTTCACCTTAATCGAATGCTTGAAGAAAATTGAATCCGATTGGACCTTTTTCCGTCACTTTGCCCACTTGAACTCTTTGTGGGCCACACTTTCACACCCTCACAATTTTCACACCACCACCTCTGGAAGACCAGCACAATACTTCACTTAGAAAAGTCCCGAATTATGGGCAGAGCCAGAGTGCCCCACTTTCCACAGAAAAAAAGCCCACAAATCTTGGCAAGCACACAAGAAATGGGATCACAAATCTGGGGCGACCCAAAACCAAGCCAATGTCTGGAACTCTAGCCAAGAGAATCTGTGCCAAAGTGCAACAACTGGCCAGCGGAGCTTCACAGAGTGCGTGCAGTCAAAATACGCGATCACTTGCAACTAACAGAGATTGGCGACGGTATTTCTCTTGCCATTGTGTTATGCCTCTTTGGCGTGATGTCTCTGTGTTAGGGGCTTCGGTCTGGGCCTGCGCCCGATGGAACTTCACCGCGCGAGAGAGAGAGAGAACAGCGCGCGAGGGTTATCGATTTCCCTGAAGGAAACGCGCGAATGGGGTTGGGATACACTGCCAAACTCAAGGTTCCTTCGCGGGATTGTTTTTTGCCGTGTCGTCAACATTGAGACGGTCAGGAGATGCCCCAAATTCCATGTCAATTTGGGGAAAAGTAGAACAAGAGGTGTATTGTTTCTCAGAAACCCTCTTCTCGGGAATTCGAATTTGAATGGCGGCAACATTACTGCGACATGACCTTTCCGTGATATTAATTACGGTTGAGGAATTTGCCGGCAAAAGCTTGAATTTAATAAATCACCTTTAAGGACATGCACAACACTGGTGCCAAAAATGGGATTCCAGTGAAATCATGTTTACTTGGGTGCAGCATAATTTATTGCACAATCCATAATTAACAGTCCTGAAATGAAGAATTGAATGAAAAAAATCTTTACTCCAACTAAACTAAACTTAATCAAAATTTTATCTTATTTGCATTCGATTTTATCATTTTGAAAAAAAAATTTTTAGATTATTTCCAGTAGTAATAATGTGTGAACCATCAACTTTGCGTGACCACAGAAGAGAATTGTTTTATAATTATTATATTGTGAGATAAGTCTTATTTTAAATCCTATCTTGTGGGGAAACGTTTAATATTGGTAAAAATTACAATTTCTATTAAAAGAGGATTATTGTTTTAAAGTAGCGAGCATAAAAGAAAATGTTATGAGTCAATAACATAAAAACTCATGCCCTTTTCCTCCCAATTTTAGCCGTGTCTTTCGCAATGTATTGGTGAAATGTTCTCTCTTAACGAATGTGTCGCTTGCGTGCCTGTATTCGCGATAAATTTATGCAACACACTGTAATTCGATTACACCTACACGAAGAGTGGCTCGAGGGATGACCTGCCTGGAAATGAGCGGGGTGGAATATGTCTGAGAGTTGTGGGGAAATAAAGCGAAATTAACCTGTTTGATTTCTATTTACTTCACGTACATGGAAAATGTGTGGATTGCATTATTTACTCAGCCTTTGACTTCTTCTTAGACTTCCGTGGAGCCGATCCTGTGGATTTGGTCAGTTTGCGACAGCAGAAGCAGCAGCAATACGCGACGGATGTGAAGAGAATCGTTATCACAATGGCAAGAAAAGCTATGACATCGATGGAGTTCCGCTGAATGAAGTTTAGATGGACGGCATGACTTTGCATGTGAGGAGCTCCGCGATGTCTTATCACGTATTCTGCCCAGAAAACTGCAGTCTCCATTGCGGTCATTGGGCGATCACGGAAGAGGCTGGAAATGCCCTGAACGGTGTTTCTGTATTTGGGGTTGTTCACAACTTCTGAAATAGCTTTAGTGAATGTCTCCTCTGATAAACTCTTGAGCTCAACAGTAACAGCCCAGCCTTCGCGCTCAGCTGTAGCAATATTTGTCATTTGATCGGCGAAGAAGGGTATTCCGACAATAGGAACTCCGTGATACTTGGCCTCGGTGATTCCACCAAGTCCTGCATGGGATACAAAGACTTTAACATTCTTGTGGGCCAAGATATCGGCTTGAGGCATCCATTTCTGAGTCATGACATTCTTGGGCTGGTTAGGAAGACTGTCAGTTTCCCATTTGAACAAGACTCTTTGCTTCAGCTTCGCAAAGGTCTTCAAGATAGCATCTAGCTTCTCAGGAGCAAGGAAACTGCTCTTCACATTAGAGCCAAGACTGAAGAAGACCACGCCATGTTCAGCGCCATCAAGAAACTCTTGTATTTTCTGCAAAGATTTGATAGAAAGTTCTATTATTGTGTTTATGTGTATTAAGTGTAGAATTTACCGGTGGAAGTGGATCGGGTTTACTCTTCAGATGAAGTCCTCCAACTTCAATCACTCCAGGAACAGTTGGGCGAGGAGTGCCCGCACTAAAGTGATCATTGGCAAAGAAAAGTGTAATATTTTTCTGCATCTCCTCATAACTCTTGTACTTTGAGCTGGGGAAGTTGTAGCTACAAAAAATATCCATTATATTCTAAATCATTCGCCAAAGAATCATCTACGAAAAGACTCACTCGTAGTATTGCTTCTCCTTGTAATTAACATAGTGCCATAGAAGTCTCTCGACGCCATTGAAGAGGAATGTCTTCAGACGAATCATGAATGTCATCTCGGGGACTTTCCCAAAGAACAAGTGGGGCACTGATGCAACGGCTGAGGGATTCCCACTAATTTGATTCATCATTTCGGTGACGCCGCCAGAGAAGATCCCAATAACTGGACACTTGAAGTGATCTCCCAGGCCGATAACGAAGTTGTTGAAGAACATTCCGTAGACCACGAGATCAAATGATTCCTCCCGCATCACTTTCTGCCACACCTCTTCATTGAAGCTCTGATTCGCCGACGCGAGACTCTTATCGATGATTTCTGTGAAGCGTGCGAAGAAGGCGGTAGAGGAGCCCCCATCTTTGGCAACGTCTTTCATGTATTCTGAAAATTTCAATTATATAAGAAATGCTTATCACGAAATCGTCTGTGACAGTTTTATCACTTACTAACCTTTGATTGCATCGTCTCCTTTAACCACAATATCTCGGTAATTATCCAATGGTTTTTCCTCGGGAAAAGAACTCATAACAGTCACCTAAAACACATCAGAGACAGACCAGACAGACTATAAAGCATTTAATGATATAATGTGAGAAAAAACTGACCTTATGACCTTTCGCAGCAAGACCCTTCATAAGAGACGACGCGACGATCATGTGTGATTTGCTAGGAGTGGGAAACGCCAACAGAATCTTGGCTCCATGGCTTTGTGTCGCCAAGAAGGCCAAAAACGTGCAGAGAACAACAATAATTCGAATCATTCGACCTTCGTAATGAATTTGGGCAAAAATTAGTTGCGAACTGTTCTGAAAGACTGCCCGGAAAATACTGTTGTGTTGTGAGTCTCGCTGATCAATCAGAGTGTATTTACGCGATGCTCAGCACAGTTATCACACTTACGGATATTTTTGGGAACTTGATAAGGTGGTTTATAGTGATGATTTTGCGGAAAGGCACACGAAAACGACAATTTTAATTATGAAATTCACTGCTTTTGAGAGCCTCAAGCTTTCTGATTAGATCTCACCTGATACCTGCTTCTTATTACCTCGAACTTGAGTTGTCTGAGCCAAGTCGCCACCGATTTGGCGCAATTCTGTGGTTCAAGTATGAACAAATATGAATGATCATCAGCACATTGTACACATGCAATAAGCTCGCATGTGTGTATTTGAGTCATTTGACTGTGGGAATCTATGTATGTATCTCGAAATATTGATAAAAACTCATGGCTTAATGTTTTGTTACTGGATGATTTGCAAGTTCCAAGTCTGCTTGTGTGATTACACAATCCAATGTGAGAGTGTCAAATGATGGAATATGTATGTAGATTCTGCAATTATTGTCCACTGTACAAGTGGCAATCAATGCTGATTACTGATCGTCATCTATAATAAACAATTTCATAACTGAGGGATTCCAAAGCTACCTTTATTTACAATTTCTTCTGTTTCTCACTGAACAATTTCTTTTTCACGCGACGACAGCAACATTTTGCTGTTAAAATAAAAACTTTGAAAATTACAAGAACAATAAGTAGTAAAAATGCGATCACGTCGATTGAGTTAATCTGCCAGAAATTCAAATGAACTGCATGCGATTGCATATGACGAGCGCCTTTATGTCTGATCACGTATTCTATCCAGAAATTGGCCGTTTCGAGTGCAGACATTGGACGATCCTTGTAGAGCAACGCATTAGATTCAGCCACTGTTTTGTACCCTTCGTTGCTCAGAACTTCTTTAACAGCAGCCAAGAAAGATTCTTCTGTAAGATCCTCAAAGTTCAATTGATACGCCCATCCTTCTTCAGCAGCAGCAGCCACATTTCCCATTTGATCGCCGAAGAAAGGCACTCCAACAACAGGAACACCTCTGTATTTGGCTTCAGCTAAGCTTCCCATTCCTCCATGACTCACAAAGAGTTTTATATTTCTGGGAGAAAGAAATGTTAATAAAACTTTTAATTAAAATTATATTATAAATACGCAAGTCTTACTTGTGAGCCAAGATATCTCTCTGTGGCATCCACTTCCCGATCATCATGTTGTCAGGTTTGTTGGGAAGATTGTCATTTTCCCACTTGAACAAGACCTTCTCTTTCAAACGTCCGAATGTCCTTAGAATTGCATCTATTTTTTCTTGGGGCAAAATAGAGCTTTTCACATTAGAACCAAAAGCAAAAAATATTGCTCCATCATTTGCAGAATCCAGAAATTCTTGGATATTCTTTGGCAAAGGATCAGTTTTCTCATCAATATGAATTCCTCCGATTTCCACCATGCCAGGAGCATAGGGTCGAACAGCACCTTGACTAAAGTGATGATTAATTAAGACGAGAGATACATTCTTGAGGGTTTCATCGAAGCTGGGATACTTGTCAGCTGGGAAGTTGGAATCATAGTAAATTCTATCCTTGTAGCGAAAGTATTTGCCTATCAATATATCCACTCCGCATACTATGAAGTTTTTCACTCGTTGACCAAATGTCATAGGCTCGCGATATCCAAGGGTCGCATGGGCTGTTTCCGCAGGACTTAAGGGAGTTCCTACCAATTGAGAAGTCAAATGCATCGTCTGAACTTGTGTCATGACAACCAGAGGACAATTGAAGTGATATGCAAGGCCGGAGAAGAATAAATTGGCAAAGATGCCCACAATGACCAGATCAAAGGTTTCCTCTTCCATTATCTTTCTGAATTGAGGATTTGACATGGTAGAATTCGACACATCGTAGAACGCTTGCAGGATTTGTGGCATTTTCTTAAAATGTTCCATCTGATTTCCTGGATTTTTCACCATGTCTGACATCATTGCGTCTGAATAAAGGAAATAGCATAATATCATGTCATAAATTCTCAATATTTTTGAAGTACGTACCTTTATCAATATTTTCCATTGGTATTACCACGTCTCGATAGTTCTTCATAGGTTTCGATAGAGGATAACAACTAACCATGGTCACCTGATGATAAAACACATTATGATTTGCTTATTATTTCAAAAATGAATCCTAACAAAACTCACTTCATGACCCTTCTTGGCTAATCCTTTCAGTAATCCAGAAGCTACAATAACGTGGGATTGACCAAAGCTAGGAAATACCATAAGAATCTTATAGCATTCTGCCTCTTTGACGGCAAATCCGAAGACGAGCACAAGCCCTAATTGAAGCAAGAATGGTATTCTTTTCATTGTGATACTGTACGAAATTGACACCACGAAATATTAAACTAGACTGGAGCCAATAAGTATTGCTCCGAATGTTATTATCTGCCACCCACTTACCTTTTAATCAGAGTATCTCAAGTATCATGATTCGCGGTTGTTATGCTGAGACATACAAACATATATTCGCAGTTCACAGATAACAAAGTAATGTACATTCCATTATTTCCTCAAGAAGTGATAACGCATTATGGACACTTCCAAATGATGAATTGCTATACATATTAAATGATTTTAAAATGCAGCGTCAGCAATGACGTCGATTGAGTTGATCTGCGATTACCGATTGTCTTTCCATCTTGAATGGACAATTTCTAATATAGAACCACGCAGTTGAGACTAACCGAAAACAACTTTCATGATGAAACTCAATCAGCCGTAATAAATTAATGCAAGTACGAGTTCAAGTGTTAAGGCTTAGAGTATTTATTACAACTCCCTCACTCATATTGTTATAGTTTTTAACAAGATATGTACAATTCTGTATAGGGCGATATTGGACGTTTTCTAGAAAGGCTTTTTTAATACTAGATTAATCGACTTAATATTATATGTCAATATAAATACATGGCAAACCAAGGGTTGAAGAATTTAGAGTGTCTTCTGCTTCTTCCCAAATAACATTCTCTTAAAACGTCGCCAGAGGAACTTCGTTGTGACTATAAAGATCTTTATAACTAGAATGAAAACCACAAGTAAGAATGCGATCACGTCGATTGAGTTGATCTGCCAGAAATTCAGATGAACTGCATGCGATTGCATATGACGAGCGCCTTTATGTCTGATCACATATTCTATCCAGTAATTTGCAGTCTCTTGTGCAGACATTGGACGATCCTTGTACAAATCAGCATTTCTCTGTGCCAAATCTCTGTACCTGAGAACGAAAAAGGCAACAATAATACAATGATACAAATAGAAGAACTGTAATTTATACTTGGAATTGGTCAAGACTTCCTTAATCGCAGCAGTAAAGGTTTCTTCTGTTAGATCGGCGAAGTTCAATTGATACGCCCATCCTTCTTTAGAGATAGAAGCCATGTTGCCCATTTGATCGCCGAAGAAAGGTACTCCAACAACAGGAACACCTCTGTATTTAGCTTCAGCTAAGCTTCCCATCCCTCCATGACTCACAAATAGTTTTATATTTCTGTAAAAAGAGAATAAAAATAACTTCCGGCCCATATTATGAAAATACAAGCCTTACTTGTGAGCCAAGATATCTCTCTGTGGCATCCACTTCCCGATCATCATGTTGTCTGGTTTGTTGGGAAGATTGTCATTTTCCCACTTGAACAATACTTTTTCCTTCAAACGTCCGAATGTCCTTAGAATTGCATCTATTTTTTCTTGGGGCAAAATAGAACTTTTCACATTAGATCCGAAAGCAAAAAGTATTGCTCCGTCAGTTGCAGAATCCAGAAATTCCTGGATATCCTTTGGCAAAGGATCAGTTTTGTCTTCAATATAAATTCCTCCGATTTCCACCATCGCAGGAACATATGGTCGCACACCGCCTTGACTAAAATGATGGTTCAGAAGCACTAAGGATACATTCTTGAGGGCTTCATCGAAGCTGGGATATTTGTCAGCTGGGAAGTTGGAGTCGTAGTAAATTCTATCCATGTATCTCATCCCTTTGGTCATAACCATTTCAATGCTTGAAAAAACGAGGTTCATTACTCTCTGTAGAAAACTCATTTGGCCACTGTAGCCGAGTGAGAAGTGTGTCGTTTCGGCAACACTCAGAGGATTTCCCACTAATTCCGACGTCATATAAACAGCTTGGACTTGGCTCATAACGACTAGAGGACAGTTGAAGTGATATGCAAGGCCGGAAAGGAATGTATTGGCAAATATGCCTAATATCACCATGTCGAATGTCTCCTCCTCCATTATTTTGCGAAATTCGGTATTAGACATTGTTTGGTTGGCAAGATCGTAAGCCATCTTCAACATTGACGGAAATTTTAAAATCATTTGCATCTGATTACCCGGATTTTTTACAATTTCCGCCATCATTGAATCTGAAAACAAAGTGTAAATATAAGAAAAAAAGACCATGAAGACACAGTTAATTGAGAACATAACTGACCTTTGTCAAAGTCACCGAATGATAGAACCACATCTCGATAATTCTTCACGGGCTTTGATTGAGGAAAAGAACTCACCATGGTCACCTGATAAAAGATTATATCATAATTTGTGTTTCATTATTTATTTCAATTTGACTCACTTCATGACCCTTTTTGGCCAATCCCTTCAACAATCCCGAGGCTACAATCAAATGCGATGGACTGAAGCTTGGAAACACCATCAGAATCTTATATGATTCTGCCTCTTTGGCTCCAAAGCCAATACACAAAACTAGCACACAAAACGAGAGTAAAATTAACTTCCTCATTGCGATGGCGCCAAGCCGAAATTCACTGTACGCGATCTTAATATGACGAATTTCAGATCTCAACTGAGCTCTTTTATCGACGCTCCATGAATTTCACTGTGTTGCTAGCTTTATCAGAATATGTATGTATCATGATTAACTTGTCATAAGTCGAAGCTTTACGAGCAAAGTCATAGTGATGATGAAATAATACGGTAAAAAGCCGTGTATAATGAATAATACACTTGAATATTGTACTAAAGAAATTTATTTCACCATCAAAGCTTTTTCATTGAATATTTGTGTGATGGTGAAAGTCTTGTTTTGACATAATTTGCAAAAAGCTTCCTAAAAAGTAGTTTTGGATAACATTTTATTATCATGTCAATGCTTTTTTGGTTTTTTTCCAAAAAACATTCTCTTAAAACGTCGCCAGAGGAACTTCGTTGTGACTATAAAGATCTTTATAACTAGAATGAAAACCACAAGTAAGAATGCGATCACGTCGATTGAGTTGATTTGCCAGAAATTCATATGAACTGCCTGCGATTGCATATGACGAGCGCCTTTATGTCTGATCACGTATTCTATCCAGAAATTGGCCGTTTCGAGTGCAGACATTGGACGATCCTTGTAGAGCAACGCATTAGATTCAGCCACTATTTTGTACACTTCGTTGGTCAGAACTTCTTTTACAGCAGCCAAGAAAGATTCTTCTGTGAGATCCTCAAAGTTCAATTGATACGCCCATCCTTCATTAACAATGTTAACTACATTTCCCATTTGATCGCCGAAGAAAGGCACCGCAATCATAGCAATACCTCGACACTTAGCTTCACTGATACTTCCCATTCCTCCATGACTTACAAAGAGTTTTACGTTTCTGAATAAAAATATTAAATAAACATTCCAATTAAATTATATTACACATGCAAGTCTTACTTGTGAGCCAAGATATCTCTCTGTGGCATCCACTTCCCGATCATCATGTTGTCTGGTTTGTTGGGAAGATTGTCATTTTCCCACTTGAACAATACTTTTTCCTTCAAACGTCCGAATGTCCTTAGAATTGCATCTATTTTTTCTTGGGGCAAAAGAGAACTCTTTATATTAGTTCCAAATGAGAAGAATATTGCTCCATCATTTGCAGAATCTAGAAATTCCTGGATATCCTTTGGTAAAGGGTCGATTTCATCTTCAATATGAATCCCTCCGATTTCCACCATGGCAGGAACATAAGGTCGAACATAACCTTGGCTAAAGTGATGATTTACTAGGACTAATGACACATTTTTAAGGGCTTCATCAAAGCTGGGATATTTGCCAGCTGGAAAGTTGGAATCATAGTAAATTCTATCCATATAGCGGAAATAAGCTGACATGATAATTTCACCACTAAACATAATAAAGTTCATTACTCTCTGTCTGAAAGTCATTTGGCTTCTATATCCTAATGAAAGGTGGGATGTTTCTGCAAAACTTAGGGGATTTCCTACCAGTTGGGATGACAAATACATCGCCTGAACTTGGCTTAATATAACCACTGGACACTTGAAATGATAAGATAGTCCTAATAAGAATTGATTGGACATTCCTAGGATCAGCAAATCAAATGTCTCTTCTTCCATGATTGTCCTAAATTCCTCATTTAACATTGTTGCATTGGTTTGCTCATAAGATTTTTGCAGCATATAAGGCTTTCTCTTGGCATAAGCCCACAAATTTCCAGCATCCTTCATTAGTTGTGACATTACGGCATCTGAATATGAAAATGTGATATAATTGTGTATTGCGAGACGTATTTTACATACCTTTATCATCATTTGTATCTTTAGTTGAAACAACAACATCTCTATAGTTCTTCAATGGTTTTAATTGAGGATAAGAACTAACCATTGTCACTTCATGGCCCTTTTTGGCTAACCCTTTCAGTAATCCGGAGGCTATGATTACATGCGATGGACTATAGCTTTGGAACACCATCAGAATTTTGTATGCTTCGACTTGTCGATTCGCATAGAGAAGAATTCCAAGTGATAACAAAAGAGATGATTTTTTCATGATATCACAAAAAACTTCTCCGCGAAATTGATACAACGGGTAATTGAAGACGACTGAGTATTTTTATCGTTGTTTCAAATATTTCTGCCTAACAACTTTATCTGGAAAACCTAATCTGGGAAAAGCGATATAAGACATCAACTGTATATGGAATTTTACGAGCAAAAAATGGTGTTTGAAAAACTTGCGGCAAAGAAATTTATTTCCATTTAATTCACGGTAACATTCCTAGTTTGTTTTCTTTGAACTTTTTCCAGGTGTAGAGAAAGTTTTCTTTTTATCCCCTTTGCAAAACAGTTTCTTAAGAAGTCGTTTCAAACCGCAAATTAAAATAAGTTAAATTAAAATAACTTGTGAGATTTTTTATTGGTATGATCACACGCCGTGACGGCGAAACGGCCATGGACTTGGATAGCTCTGTCATACTCTTAATGTATCAAAATTAAGAACAATCACGCGGGTGGTTTGCAAGTCATCCAACCCAGAAAGACTTACTTTATTTTAGCTTCTTAGTAAGATTTTCTTTACAAGTTCTTTTACAAATCTTCTTCATCAATTTTCTAAACATTCGCTTAAGGATTACAAAAATAAGTAAAGGCACAGCAAGAAGAAGAGCGAAAACGTCCAAATTGTGGTATTGGATGAAGCTCAGCTCCTGTCCTCCGGAGATCAAGTGTTTGGCTCCTCCGTGTCGAGCAACGTACTCAATCCAGTAAACAGCTCTGCTCATGGGATCTTCAGGTTGATCCCGGAATCGTGCGGAAATAGTTTTGGCTCGAATAGAATATTTATCGTTGGAGAGTAACTCATTGATGGCCCAAGAAATTGATTCTTCTGTGAGGTTTGTGTAAGTAACAGTCAAGCCATAACCAGCTGCTTGTGCTGTACCGCTGTTTCTATGCTGATCAGCGAAGATGGGAATCCCAAGAATGGGAACTCCATGATAAATTGACTCCATTGTGCTGAGAAGTCCTCCATGAGTGATAAATAATCTCACATTGGGATGAGCTAGGATATCATCTTGAGGAAACCACTTGCGGATCAGGACGTTCTTTGGTTGATTAGGAAGATTATCGTCCTCCCATTTCCACATTACATTCACGTTTAATGTGCCAAGGACTTTCAAAATATCATCCCTCTTTTGAGTTGGCAGATCAGCACTCTTAAGATTGGATCCCAGTGAAAAGTAGACGACACCATTCGGAGAATTGTCCAGAAACTCCTGAAGATCTTTTGGCAGTGACTTCGGTTTCTTATTCACGTGAAAGCCACCAATTTCTATCATATTCGGCAAGTAAGGTCGAGGATAACCCAATGAGAAGTGGGAGTTAAGTAGAACCAAGGATACGTGAGTCGCTTTAAGCTCTTCAAGTGTTGGTTTTGGTTCTGGGAAGTATTTGTTGTAGAGTTCCACTTGCAATCCATGGAAGTAATAACCAAAGTACACCTCCTCAATAGCCATTGTGATAATATTAATGAATCTTTGGAAGAACGTCATGCGATCTGAGAATACCAGATTCACATTTGCTACGTAAGAAGGGGGCGAAGGTGATCCATTGAGGTCTGTGTTCCACTTCGAGGCACCAAATGTTGAAAATCCAACAATAGGAGCGTCGAAATGCTTTCCAAAGCCCAACATTGCTTCAGCCAGGAAGATTTCCTGTATGATCACATCGAACTTTTCTCGCTTTTGCATCAAATCCACAACTGCTGGATCCGTGAGAACTAAGTGTGTCATGTTAATGAACATATCTATAAACTCATTAACCTGTGCCATGAACGACTTGGGATCTTCTTGAAGAAATGACTTGCTAACATCTATATTCGGCAGACTTGTGATAACAACCTCGCGCATGTTGTCTGATGGATCGGGATGTCTGAACGGCGCCACGATTGTCACCTGCAATTTCAGATAATCATTATCACGGTGACATGAAATTTTCGAATGAAAAATTACAACTCACATTGTGTCCAGCATCTGCCAATCCCTTCATCAGAGCCGCTCCTAAGATGTAGTGTGATTTGCCTCCTGTGTGGAAAACTCCCAAGATATTGTATCCTGTGACCACAGTGAGACAGAAGCTCAGGAAAAAAATATTTTTCATTTTTAAAACCATTACAATATCACAGCACTTTTTTACAATTCTTGTTAAATTCGTTGACGGCAGTTAAATAACATCACACGCTTTTTATCGACTGTAGATCTCGCAAGAACGTCTTCAAGTTATGAAATATAGCGGCGCACTGGTTGATTTCTTCAGTCAAAATGTTCGATTTATTTACAACCAGTGAACATACACATGCGCACGCCATCTGAAGTGTTAGTTAATTTGAGGAAATCGCCAAAAATACTCAACTGAGGTCTTCACAGTGTTGGTGAACACTTGTGAGATTTTTTATTGGTATGATCACACGCCGTAACGGCGAAACGGCCATGGACTTGGATAGCTCTGTCATACTCTTAATGTATCAAAATTAAGAACAATCACGCGGGTGGTTTGCAAGTCATCCAGCCCAGAAAGACTTACTTTATTTTAGCTTCTTAGTAAGATTTTCTTTACAAGTTCTTTTACAAATCTTCTTCATCAATTTTCTAAACATTCGCTTAAGGATTACAAAAATAAGTAAAGGCACAGCAAGAAGAAGAGCGAAAACGTCCAAATTGTGGTATTGGATGAAGCTCAGCTCCTGTCCTCCGGAGATCAAGTGTTTGGCTCCTCCGTGTCGAGCAACGTACTCAATCCAGTAAACAGCTCTGCTCATGGGATCTTCAGGTTGATCTCGGAATCGTGCGGAAATGGTTTTGGCTCGAATTGAATATTTATCATTGGAGAGTAACTCATTGATGGCCCAAGAAATTGATTCTTCAGAGAAATTCCCAAATTTCACAGTGAGACCGTATCCTGCAGCCTCAGCCTTTGCCATATTCATCATTTGATCCCCAAAGATCGGAATTCCAATAACGGGAACCCCATGATAAGTAGCTTCCATTGTGCTAAGAAGCCCTCCGTGAGTGATGAAGAATCTCACATTGGGATGAGCTAGGATATCATCTTGAGGAAACCACTTTCTGATCAGGACGTTTTCTGGTTTGCCAGGAAGAGTGTCATCTTCCCATTTCCACAATACTTTTACTGGTAAACGACTAAAGACTCGCAAAATAGCATTTCTCTTTTCAGTCGGAAAATGAACGCCGTGAAGTGTGGATCCCATTGAGAAGTAAATCACTCCATTCGGAGAATGATCAAGGAACTCTTGAAGATCCTTTGGCAATGGTTTTGGCTTCCTTTTAATATGAAAACCTCCGATTTCCACCATGCTAGGCAAATAAGGTCGTGGGTGGTTTAATGAGAAATGGGAATTGAGGAGAACCAGTGGCATTTTTGTCTTCCAAATGTCCTTGAGATCTGGCTTAGGATCCGGGAAATGCTTATTATAAAGTGCTGTTTGTTTGTCATCATAATACATATCCATGTAAACATTCTCATAGGTTGTAAGAAGAACATTTCTTAATCTCTGCATGAAGGACATCCGATCGGAGAAAGTGAACTGGAAGTGCGGGACGTAGGACAAGGGCGAAGGTGATCCATTGAGATCTGTTGACGATTTGGCAGCGCCAAATGTAGAAAATCCTATCACAGGAGCGTTGAATATTCTACCAAATCCCAAGAGACTTTCAGAGTAGAAGATCTCAATGATGACTAGATCAAATGATTCTCCGCTACTCATCAGATCCTTCACATTAGGATCACTTAGAGTTTCATCCGTGAATAACAATCCATAAGCGAGAACATCCCGTATTTGTTCACTGGGAGACTTATTGGTTAGTTGATAGAGGATTTCACTCAAGCTGTCCGCCGGTGTCATAGCAACGACAATTTCCCGCATATTCTCTACAGGAATTTCTTGTTTGTACGCCGCAACAATTGTCACCTGTGAACACAGAGTGACAAATTAACATTTCCTTATTTTTACTAAGTGTGTTCAAACTTACATTGTGACCTGCTTGTGCCAATCCTTTCATAAGGGACGATCCTAGAATATAGTGAGATCTTCCAGGAGTAGGAAACACTCCTAGAATATTATATCCTGAGGCATTTTGAGCAATCAGGACAACGCCTAAGCACACTAAACTAGTCAGGAATTTCATAACTAACCGAACGCTAGACACTGACTAAGCTTTCTTATCATATCACAATTTCGCAATGTTGAAAATTAACGCACAAGCGCCAACACATCTGTTGTATAACGTGTGTACCTTGACACTGGGCATCCACTGATATCTAAGCGCCATGCGTACTCCCCAAAATTTCCCACACAACCAAACTCATGTGCTTTCACTATGAATGTATTTTGGACTCAAGAATCACATTATAATACAGTTGTGTTACAATATTCAGAGCCACACGCTTTATTTTTGATTTATAAGTAATAATTTTCTTTACTTGTATTTTTTATCTATCCCCACATTACTTGATTTTTTCTTAAACAGTCTTTTCAATAAACGACAAATTAGCATAAGAAACAAAATGGGCACAGCAAGAAGAACAGCGAATACGTCCAAGTTGTGGTATTGGATGAAACTCAGCTCCTGTCCTCCGGAGATCAAATGTTTGGCTCCTCCGTGTCGAGCAACGTACTCAATCCAGTAAACAGCTCTGCTCAAGGGATCCTCAGGTTGATCTCGGAATCGTGCGGAAATAGTTTTGGCTCGAATAGAATATTTATCGTTGGAGAGTAACTCATTGATGGCCCAAGAAATTGATTCTTCTGTGAGATTTGTAAAACCCACAGTTACTCCATAGCCTGCGGCTTGAGTTTTACCCATGTTCATCATTTGATCTCCGAACACAGGGATTCCGAGTACTGGAACCCCATGATAAGTAGCTTCTGTTGTGCTAAGAAGTCCTCCATGAGTGATGAAGAATCTAACCTTTGGATGGGCCAGGATATCATCTTGAGGAAACCACTTGCGAATCAGGACGTTTTCTGGTTTTCCAGGAAGAGTGTCATCTTCCCATTTCCACATCACTCTCACATTAAGTCTTCCAAATACTCTCAGTAGAGCGTCTCTGGCTTCAGTTGGCAGATCAGCACTCTTAAGATTGGATCCCATTGAGAAGTAAATCACTCCATTCGGAGAAGTATCCAGGAACTCTTGAAGATCTTTTGGCAACGGTTTAGGCTTGTTCTTGATATGAAAGCCACCAATTTCTACCATGTTAGGTAAGTAAGGTCGAGGATAGTTCATCGAAAAGTGCGCATTAAGCAGGACCATGGATAACGAAGTCCTTTTCAAATAATCGAAATCGGGCTTCGGATCCGTGAAGTGCTTGTTGTAGAGAGCTTCCTGTCTATAATTGTAGTTTATATCCAAGTACACCTTTTCAAAAATCGACAACATTGTGTTCGCCATGCGCTGAAGAAATGTCATGCGATCGGTGAAGGTGAACTGTGTGTGTGGCACGTAGGATAATGGTGAAGGCGATCCATTAAGATCCGTTGACCATTTTGAGGCTCCAAAAGAACAAAATCCTATCATCGGTGCATCAAAGACCTTTCCAATACCAAGAAGAGCTTCTGATAGGAACAACTCAACTATCGCCACATCGAACTTTTCTCCACTTTTCAGCAGCTCCTGGAAGCTAGGATCCATCAAGGCATCATCCGTGAAATTTAATCCAAATTGCAACACAGTTTCCAATTGTTCGAAAATTTTAGTCTGCGACTGATGATAAAGAAGTTTGCTGAATTTGTGAGCCGGAGGCAAGTCTAGGACGATTTCTCGCATATTTTTCACCGGAACATCCAGCTTAAATGGACTCACCATGGTTACCTTTGAAGAAGAAAAGCACTTAGTTTTGTTAAAACACATTATGCAATATTCATTATACTCACATTATGACCAGCTTCTGCCAATCCTTTCATCAGAGCCACTGCCAGAATATAGTGAGATTTTCCAGTGGTGTGAAAAACCCCCAAAATATTGTATCCTGAGGCATTACTAGCAGATAACACAATTAACAGGGAAGTAAGTATAACAGTGAATTTCATGATTCTCGTTCAAGTTCTCGCCAGTCGTGCCACAACTGAGTTCCAATAGCCAAATTTATCTGTACAGAGGCTTTGCCGACGACTGCTAGACACTTTTCTTATCTCAATGATAGGCACAGTGATATGGCATTACTTTCAGCAATTCACTATGACACTTCACTTGAAAAACTTCCTTTAAATCATGAAATAACTAAACACACGCCTTTCCTGAATCAGTCGTTTTGGGACACTGACATTCACAGAGATTACCAATTTCATTTGGCCATACCATGGCTTCATCTCGCCAACTTACACACTGAACCTGAAGTTGAACTTGAGATTCTCAAAATACACACACTCTGAATGTTGCTCGTAATGCCCGTGTGTTGATCTTACTCGTTTCACGCTATACATCATTATTCCAATTGACACACGGTATTTCGATCATTTCTATTGATACACGATAAAAGTGATAAAGTGAACGTGTTTTGAGTTCCATATGACACAAAAAAAATCTTAGGTTTTAATTTATGGACATAGGGTGTTATTAGGTGTGTATATTGCTAACAATAACCTCTGTGCTTATGTTTAGCTCTAACCTTCATGGAATAAGTATGCTATGCAGAAGTTTAAATTACATACTCTCATTGATTTTACAAATAAATTAAAACAAGAAACATTTTTATCCTTTTTATCACATTTAAAGAGGATTAAGTGTGTAGTTTCGTTTCATGCGGTCCAGATGAAACCTCAAATTTATTATTGAAACTGTTTCGTATAAGGCACTAATTGGCGAAACGTCGTCGCATCAAATCAATTGATCACGTTCGTAGAGAGAATCCCAAACTGCCAATCTTTCCGTCTCGGGCAGCAGAGGGAAAGTCACTTCTTCGGCGATGTTGAGGCAGCGATAAGGAGGTCCGTTCGGAGACACGGGAAGCCACTTGACCGGCGCAATTGCTTCGCAATTGGGATTTCCGCTGATCGCGAATGAAGTCCACATGCTGACCATTCGATCGATAGTCTTGCGCTCAATACTCCCGACTTCAGGTAGTTTTGTCACAAGAGCTGAACTCAATATGTAGATTGAATCATCACCGTGACACACTCCACGGACTCCTGGTCCGCAAATAAAGGTGCGAGCAAAATTAAAATGTTCAGATTCTAGAGCGAAGCGATAAAGGAATGTCGGGACCAAAGGCGCAGCTTCACATCTGGCGCGAACAAGGCGAGAAAGTCCATGCCAGAAGAATTTATCTCCTGCAAACTGAAAATCCAAATAAAGAATTTGTTTACAAACTTGACTCGAACATTCATACCTTCACGTGGTTGTCATATCCATCTTTTGTTGATGGACGATTGCCATTGAAGTAGAAGTCCCTTAACGTTTTTGCAGCTTCCTGCCTACGTCCACTCTCAGGATGCAAGTTTAGTTCCCAAGGTACAAAACTCGTCAAATCTCCCAAGAAATCATCGTCCGCGGTAAAATCTTTGTAGTTGAGCAATCCTTCATCTGCACAGCCACCAGTCATAATCGGGATGGAGTTTCCCCAGGCCGTTCTGGCCATGTTACGTGGATGACTAGTAATTACACTATTCACACTCCATTGAGGCTCTACCACAGGACCAAAATGGAAGAGAATAGCATTTTTGTGATTCTCATGGGTGATCAGCTCCCCTTGCTTTTCTGCCAACACTTCCTGGCTCACTTTCATCAGACTCTCCAGCATTCCAGCTTCACCGCCTTCGCCAGTCCATCCGACTGATTTGGCCAGCTTCCCGGCCCAATTCAGGTCTGGAGCAAAAGCCCAGGGATCGTACGCCGTACCTGACATGACGATGGCGCGGCGGAAGAGTCCCCTGGCCTGGTCAGTGAGGAGCATGAAGTGCACAGAAGCTCCGCCCGCGCTCTCGCCGAAGAGAGTCACGTTGTTGGGATCGCCGCCGAAGAAAGAGATGTTGTCTCGCACCCACTTCAACGCCATCACTTGATCCTTCAGCCCAGCATTCCCGGGAATGTTGAGCGTGGGATCCTGGAGACTCAGGAATCCCAGAGCGCCCACGCGATAGTGGAACGTGACCAGAACCACATCTCGCTCAATGATAAAGTCCGGTCCATACATCATTGTGGTGCCGGCGCCACAGACGAAGCCGCCTCCGTGGATGTACAGCATGACAGGAAGGAGTCGCTTTGAGTTTTGCTGAAGGTCAAAAAGAAGTCATTTTATAATTCAATAAAGTTCATTTGATAAATTGGATAAATTCGATAAAAATCTGCTCACATTCTTAGTGAACACATTAACATGGAGACAATCTTCATCACCCACGAAGCTATTCATGAACAACATGTTCTGAGCGCATCCTTGGCTCTCAACTGTGCAGTCCAGAGTCTCTTCCCATGGTTCCGGAGGTTGAGGATCCTAGAATATATAAAGGGAAAACTTATGTGAAGTGACTATTTTTCTACTCACAATAAAAAAAACATGTTTTTTCAAGGTTGCAATAACGCAAACACTCATTGCTCATTTATTCACAGTGATGAGTTTTGCGCAATGATTATTAGGTATACAAACACTTATCTCAACATTAATTATGTACCTAAAGAAACTTACTCACATTCTTCCAAAGATTCAGTCATAAAATGAAACTTAACTTACCCTGAACCTCAGATCGCCGAGTGGGGGTTTAGCGTAGGGAATCCGGAAGAAGCTGAGGTACTTTGCTCCCAAAATGCCCTCTTTCTTAACGCCACGAATTGGGCCCAAAGCAGTGCGTGCGACTATTGTGTTCGACATCTCGCACAGAACTGAGTTTAACTCCACAATACTTATCTCACTCACAAATCGTTTCAGATACGCCCAGTCGCGGATCACGAACTCTGTTTTAAGCTATATTTAATCAACCGTTGTGACTTCATACCTTCACACTCACATTTTTGATAAAATAAAGCGAATTATTTGTTCATTCCCAATCAGTGGATTTTTCAACTTTATAGATTAACTACACAAGCTTTTCTGCCTCATCATTGAAATGGTCACACTAACATCTGTATAAGAAAAAGTGATATCGTGGATTCAAATTTAGTTCTACCCGAGATGCCGGACACAATAGTCGCACGCACTGCTTTGGGCCTTATTCGTGGCGTTAAGTCAGAGGGCATTTTGGGAGCAAAGTACCTCAGCTTCTTCCGGATTCCCTACGCTAAACCCCCACTCGGCGATCTGAGGTTCAGGGTAAGTTCAGATTTTTTCTAAAATTTCTCTTAAAATAAGTTTGAAAGTTCAGCATATGCAACGTTTTGAAATTATTTTTGAGATTATTATAAGTGGGTGACTATATAAGTAATTATGATATATTGGATTGTGAAGTATATGAATAAAAAAAAACCAGTCGATAGATAAAATGTAAGGGTTTCCTAGGTTTAGACATTATAGTACATACAATATACATTTGTACAGATAAGGTTTCATTAAAGTTATGTTAATTGTATCATGTATGAAAAGAAACACAATGTGGGTAACCTTGACAAACCTCTACATATACATAGAAAAGAAATCATTGCAACGATTATAATACATCAAGCTTAACGATAATGTTCCTCCTAACATTTGATTATAGGATCCTCAGCCTCCGGAATCATGGGAGGAAACTCTGGATTGCACAGTTGAAAGCCAAGGATGCGCTCAGAACATGTTGTTCATGAATGGCTTTATAGGTGATGAAGATTGTCTCCATGTTAATGTCTATACGAAAAATGTGAGTAATTTTGGCAAATTCAATTGATTAAATTGACTAAATTGTTTCTTTTATGAATAAACATAGCTAAACCCAAAGCGACTCCTTCCTGTCATGTTGTACATCCACGGAGGTGGCTTTGTCTGTGGCGCCGGCACCACAATGATGTATGGACCGGACTTTATCATTGAGCGAGATGTGGTTCTGGTCACGTTCCACTATCGCGTGGGCGCTCTGGGATTCCTGAGTCTCCAGGATCCCACGCTCAACATTCCCGGGAATGCTGGGCTGAAGGATCAAGTGATGGCGTTGAAGTGGGTGCGAGACAACATCTCTTTCTTCGGCGGCGATCCCAACAACGTGACTCTCTTCGGCGAGAGCGCGGGCGGAGCTTCTGTGCACTTCATGCTCCTCACTGACCAGGCCAGGGGACTCTTCCACCGCGCCATCGTCATGTCAGGCACGGCGTACGATCCCTGGGCTTTTGCTCCAGACCTGAATTGGGCCGGGAAGCTGGCCAAATCAGTCGGATGGACTGGCGAAGGCGGTGAAGCTGGAATGCTGGAGAGTCTGATGAAAGTGAGCCAGGAAGTGTTGGCAGAAAAGCAAGGGGAGCTGATGAGCTCCGAAAATCGAAAGAAAGGGGTGTACTTCCACTTCGGCCCTGCAATAGAGCCTCAATGGAGTGTGAATAGTGTGATCACTAGTCATCCACGTAACATGGCCAGAACGGCCTGGGGAAACTCCATCCCGATTATGATCGGCGGATGCGTCGGAGAAGGTTTGATGTCTTATAAAGACATTTCCACAGATGATGACTTCCTCGGAGATCTAACGAACTTTGTGCCCTTTGAATTGGGGTTGCATCCTGAGAGTGGACGTAGTCAGTACATTGCCAAAACTCTGAGAGATTTCTACTTCAATGGCAACCGCCCATCCGCGAAAGATGGATATAATAACCATGTGGAGGTATTAATATGCGAGGCTCTTTTCTAGGAGGAACTAAAATTTGACTTCCTTTCTCTTCCAGTTTATAGGAGATAAATTCTTCTGGCATGGACTTTCTCGTCTAGTTCGCTCCAGATGTGAAGCCGCGCCTTTGGTCCCAACATTCTTTTACCGGTTTGCCTTGGACACAGAAGAATTTAACTTGATCCGCACTATGATTTGTGGCGCTGATATTCGCGGAGTGTGTCACGGTGATGAATTGGGATACCTCTTCAGAGCTATGCTGATGGCCAAATTACCTGAAGTCGGGAGTATTGAGCGCAAGACTATCGATCGGATGGTCAGCATGTGGACTTCATTCGCGATCAGCGGAAATCCCAATTGCGAAGCAATTGCGCCGGTCAAGTGGTTTCCCGTGTCTCCGAACGGACCGCCTTATCGCTGCCTCAACATCGCCGAAGAAGTGACTTTCCCTCTGCTGCCCGAGACGGAAAGATTGGCAGTTTGGGATTCTCTCTACGAACGTGATCAGTTGATTTGATGCGACGACGTTTCGCCAATTAGTGCCTTGTATGAGACAGTTTCAATAAATTTGAGGTTTCATCTGGACCGCATGAAACGAAACTAAACATCTAATCCTATTCAAATGCGATAATTAAATTCTCATACGGAATCATTTCTCCATCGCTCGATTGAAGAAGGCGGGATTTTTTGCAGTTTCAACTATTGCCCGCTTGAAACGCTGCAGGCGAGTGAAAGGTTGAGGAAATATTGAGGTTTGGTGTCATTGTTATCAAAATAAAGAAAATCATCTGTGAGAAAATTGTGTTTTCCGTGCTTTCCTGAGGAAATCTCACAATGGGAGCCCTTTTTGGGAAGTCAAAGAAGCCCCCGAGCAGAATAACTGAGCAGGACAAGGCTGTCTTGGTAAAAACCTGAGGAAATATACATAAATTGCACATATTTACACTGAATTCTTACAGCAATTGAAGCAACAGAGGGACAAGTTGAAGCAGTATCAGAAAAGAATAGAACTCTCCTTGGAAAAGGATCGTGAGCTGGCGAAGAAGTGTCTGAACACCGGCAGGAAGGAGTATGACTGACAAATCATCTTCTCATAGTCATGTAATTTCTAATGCTTGTGTTTTCTTCAGGCGCGCAAAACTCCTTCTCCGGAAGAAGAGATACCAGGAAAAACTACTGGCAAACACAGACACTCAGCTTGAAAATCTGGAGAAATTGGCATCAGACATTGAATTTGCTCAGGTGGAAATCCAGGTGATTGAGGGACTGAAGACAGGCAATCAGGCGCTGAAGAGTCTTCATCAAATCCTGAATATCGATGAGATTGAGAAGATAATGGACGAGACGCGCGAGGGAGTTGAGAAGCAGCAGGAGCTGGACGAAATCCTTTCGGGACGCCTTACTGAGGATGACGAGAATGCCATCCTCGAGGAACTCGACAACTTGGTGGCTCTGGACGACGCTGCAAAGGCTGAGGAGGAGATTCCCGAGGAGGACATCTCGGAGAAACTGCCAGATGTGCCGTCGGATTTGCCGGAGCGCGAAAAGGCCAAGAGGCAGAAGAAGGAGGAACCAAAAGTCGCCCTAATGGCCTGAAAATCATTCTTGTCATTCGTATTATAATCCGTCTCAGAGGGATAATAAGTGATGCTTTGTAAATTTATATCAAGCTACGAATACACGTAATTATTGGGTATAAATTCTGCATTTTCGCACTCAGATGTTACTTGCTTGCAAGTTGCATTTCTCACGATCTGTCAAAGTGTGTTTTTATTGTGTCGTGAGACTTTCACTGGGGCCATGGCGAGCGCCTCGGCGGACTGGGGGCGCTTCGGCGAGTGGGTGTACGCGTTTTGTATCGTGACATTTGACCTGGAGCTGGGCCAGGTGCTGGAGCTCCTCCACCCATCGCACGTGACTCTATCGGAGCGCGAGCGCTCCAATATCTGCTACCTCGCCTTCCCGGACAGCAACAGCGGCTGCATGGGCGACACCGAGTATCACGTGCGGCTCCGCAGATCGCCCGTGGGGGCGCTATCTTCCGCCCACCAATCCTACAACCGCGTCGCCAGCGATCCACAGAGGGCGGATCCGGGCCATTTATGGGGCTTCGTCTACTTCCGCCAAACCCGCGCTCCTGATCTGCCTCGCGGCTACTTCCAGAAGAGCTTCGTTCTGCTCACCCGACTGCCCTTCCTGGCCCTGTTCTCGCGGGTCACGCACCACGTGGCACCCCTGTTCTTCGACGCCGAAGACAGCGGACTTGTGCTCCAGGAAGCCGCGCGGGCGATCAGTGAGTGGCCACCATTGGCTCCTGGGCCTGTCGTTCTGCCCTTTATGGGTCGCCGCTTCTCCGCAATCGTCGGCGAGGGCCAAACGGAGCCCACGGAGCAGGGCGAGCGCATCACTTCTCTGCACGAACTGGACAGCCTCCAGGGACTGCTGCAGCTTCTGCCCCACGTTCAATTGCTGTGGGAGCTGATTATCACAGGAGAACCAATAGTTGTGATGGCTTCATCGCCCACTGACTGCTCTCATCTGGTGCATTGCTTGACAAGTATGATCGCCCCGCTGGTGTACAGTGGCGAGGCGCGGCCGTACTTCACCATCCACGACAGTGAGTTCCGGGAGTTCACGAGTCACGGAGCCCCGTCGGTCATCCTCGGCGTCACAAATCCCTTCTTCGCCAAGACACTGCAGCACTGGCCGCACACCATTCGACTCACGGACAGCTCTGCTGGAGCTCTGCCCCGCGTGAGATCCACATCGAGGCTTCTGGAGGCAGCGCCTGGAGTGTATACGCAGTGGCGCCCTCACGTGACACAGGAGCGCAGCCTCATCCGGCAAGTGATGGGCCGGGCGGGACGGCCGGTGGCCATCCAGACGGCCATGCTGCGACGCTACTTAGTGGAGCTCACGCAGAGCTTCGTCATCCCGTTGGAGCGCTACATGGGCAGCTTGATGCCGCTTATGCGTGACGTGTCGCCCTGGGGATCGCCACCGGCTCCCCATCCCTTCCGCCAGGAAGACTTCCTAGCCACGCTCTCGCACGCGGGGCCTCATCTCACGTCCAGCCTCCGCGGGGATTGGGAGGGCCTGTACAAGCGCTTCTTCCGCTCCGCCAACTTCCGCGCCTGGCACGAGGCGCGGCGGACTCAACTCACGCACGCCCTACAGGAGCTGCACCTGCAGGCGCTGGCGCGACAGGACCTGAGCGCGTGGGTGGTCGGCAAGCACGAGGTGGAGCTGGTGGACATGGTGCTGAAGCTGAGACAGAAGATCGCCGCCACGGCGGCCAGCGAGACGCGACAGCAGCTGGAGCGCCATCAGAGTGACATCGAGGCCAGCTTGCCGGAGGATTTGCGTCTCCTGCTGAAATCTGGGGCAGCGCCCACTTGATGGCCACAGCAGTGCCTTCGCCAATCTCATTTGCATGTACAAAGACTCAAGAAATACACTCGTTTTCTATATCTTAAATAAGGATGTCTAAAGGTGGATTCTAGTTATTAACTTTTCCAGCTTCCAGCACGATGATTTTCTTGTCGAAATTCGTGTGAACGCGCCAAAAGTGAGATGCGTGAAGTGAAGAGCAATTGAAATTGACCGCCGGCGTGCAAAATTGGCAAAATTGAATGCGGCGGCGCCGCCGGTTTTTGATTCCTCTTCAGCGTTCTGTGCGCCCTCTATAAATAGCATGTGCGTTTTGCGTGTTTGTTTACTCTGTACTTATTTCTGCATTTCCCTTAGGAAAATCCCATAATTCGCAATGTCAGGTGACACATTCGATTCTTTAGGACTCTCTCCATGGGTATTGCGACAAGTACAGAAGCTGGGTAAGTATTTTCACTGGAAAATCATTAGAGCAAGTGACTAACCTCATTTCCCGCATCACGGACAGGATTGAAATCTCCGACGCCTATCCAGAAGCACTGCATTCCAGAGATTCTCGCTGGCAAGGACTGCGTGGGGGCCGCAAAGACAGGGAGTGGCAAAACCTTTGCCTTCGCGCTTCCAATTCTACAGAAATTAGCTGAAGATCCCAGAAGCTACTTCGCCCTGATCCTCACGCCAACTCACGAGTTGGCTCACCAGATTTCCGAGCAATTCGCCGTGGCTGGACAGCCGATGGGATGCCGTGTGTGTGTGATCACTGGCGGAACTGATCAGCTGTACGAGAGCCAACGATTGATGAATCGCCCTCACATCGTTGTCGCCATGCCGGGAAGATTGGCTGATCATTTGCTGGGATGTCGAACTTTCTCCTTTCGGGGACTGCAATATTTGGTGGTGGATGAGGCAGACAGGATGCTGGCCGGAGGATTTGATGAACATCTCAAGACTATAGCGAGTTTTTTGCCAGAGAAGCGACAGAATCTGTTCTTCTCTGCCACAATGAACGAGATTTCTTCTGAAATCTTGCCACTGAATTCTGAAGTCTTTCGGTGGAGCGAGAGCGCTTCCGTGGCCACAGTGGACACACTGGAGCAGAGATACATTCTCTGTGCCGATTATGATCGCGATCAGGTGCTCGTGGAGACGCTGAGGCGCTTCCGAGAGGAACACAAGTCTGCCAGCGTGATTGTCTTCACGAACACGAAGAAGGATTGCCAACTCTTGTCCACCACGCTCAATGAAGTGGGATTCTCCAACGTCTGTCTTCATGGTTACATGCGGCAGCGCGAGAGAGTCGCTGCGCTGGCTAAGTTCAAGTCGAGCCACGTGAGAACGCTGATAGCGACGGATGTGGCCAGCAGAGGCTTAGATATTCCTGCTGTGGAGCTCGTGCTAAACCATCGGCTCCCCAAGTTTCCTCATGAGTACGTGCATCGCGTGGGCAGAACCGCCAGAGCAGGCAGAAATGGTCTGGCCATTTCGATTTTCCGCTTTCCAAGAGATTTGGAGTTTCTGGCTCAAATCGAGGAGACTATCAAGACGAAACTCACGGAAATGCCAGTTGATCGTGAGTTGAAATTCCATCTAATTGAATTACGGAACCTAATGGTCTTGTTTTTGCAGAACGAATGGTCGAGAGAATCTTCATGCAAGTGAGTGTGACAAAGCGCGAGGCGGAAATCAAGCTGGACAACAAAGACTTCGAGGAGAGGAAATCCAATTACCGTCGCATAAAGTGGCTGGAAGAGGGATTGGATCCAGAAGATGAGGAAGCGCGCTTCCAGAAAGAACGGAAGGAGCGTACGGCCGCCAGAAAAGCAGAAGCGCTGAAAAAGCGCCGGAAGATTAGCGAAAATCCACTCTTTGGCGACGAGAGATTCGCCAAGGTGAGAAGGAAGACAGCAGATGTAGAAAAATAATTTATTTAACCCACTTGAAGACGCACTGTTTCAATCCATTGATATGGTGAGGAGGGCGTCTTCCGGGCGCGTCTCGAGGACCACTTTTGCACCGTCATTGAAAGGATACGAAATGCTGCCATCAATCACAAGACCTGCGAAAAAGACACTTTAGGACATTTTCAGGCACTTGAAATCTCTTCTGAGACACTCACTTGCGTCCAGACACTTCGACTGGACGTAGAGTTTGCTGGCGAATGCACGGGACTCCATGCCGCTCTTGGGATTCGGCCAAACTCCCACGCGAATCTCCTCGCGAATCGAATAGCACAGGCGAGGATCGTCCGGCGGGAAGACAAGTCTCCTATTGTACTCCCGCGCAATCTCATTAGCATCCAGATGGCCGTCAATGTGATTCCCCTGGCGCAGGATGGTCAGGAGTTCCTCCACGTTCTTCGGAGACAATCTATTGATGCTGGAAAGAACGTTGCATTTCAAACTAGAGAGCTGTCAATCAACATAACCTCACTTGAACTCGCGTGAAGAAAAATTTTCTTCTCTGTGTTTTTTCGCATTTCCCAGGAAAAAAGATGATAATCAGGCAAGTTTTGAGTAAGAATCTTCTCAGGTGAGTGCACTTTATCCATTCTGCGAATGATTTATCAAGTATATTGCGCAAAAATTGGTTTTCAGAGTGAATTATCATGTGGGAAAAACAGCCGGAAGATTCTTCTCCAAGGACTCAGGAGATAGCTCCTCTTCAGACTCTGATGACGAGGCCAAGAAGCCTTCAGTGTCAAATGATAGACTGAATGAACTTCTAGCAAGTATGAAAGTGTCTGGAAAGTCCTTCGAAGTGACGCCCAAGAGTCTGAGGCAGCGCCAAGAGACCAAAAAGCCTCCAATTGAAGAGGCACCGACTCTTGAGCGCGTTACCAAGAATGTGGCAGAATCTTTGGGAGGAGATGCTCGACAAACGGAGTCCGAGTTGCTGCGAAAGCTCCTGGACATTTCCAATCAAGCCAGCGAGGCAAAAATCAAAACGGAAGGAGCAGAAGACGGTTCGAAGCTCAAGTAAGACTTTCAATTTGTTTTTTTTTTGTGGTGTTTCTCATTTGTCTCTCTCTTTCAGTGATATAATTGTGGGCATGAAGATCGAGAGGACGAAGAAATCTCCCGAGAGCACTGTCAGTGAGCAATTTGTGAGGAGGTCAGGAAAGAAAACTGAGAGAGTCATCAAGGAAAGAGTGGCACCAGTGAAGCCTGTGGACGTGAAACACGACAGAATAAATTTGTGGAGCGCTCAGCCACTGAATATCTTCACCAAGGATGTCAAGGAATCCGCAGATCCTCTGGAAATCTGGACTCTTCTGCAGAATCGCGAACTTCAGGCCACTTTCGATACTCCGCCGAGGAATTACTTCGAGAAGATGCAGCGCTGGACCACCGAGGGCAAAGTCTGGCGCTTCCCCATTGACAACGAACAGGGCCTGGAGGAGGAAGCGAAGGTGTACTTCGCCGATCATGTGTTCCTGGAGCCCCATTTGGAGCCGTGGTGCCCGAAAACCGGCCCTGTGAGGCACTTTATGGAGTTGGTGTGCGTCGGTCTGTCCAAGAATCCCTACATAACGATCCAGGAGAAACAAGCGCACATTGCCTGGTTCCAACAGTACTTCGAGGGCAAAAAGGAACTCCTCAAAGAGATCATCATACAGGAAGGGAAGGAGAAACAGGCAATCGAGAGAAAAGCTGAGTAGAAATTCAGCGTAAAGCGTCGATTAGTGGAATAAAAGTTGTAATAGAACTCACCTCGTGTGCCAGGAAGTTGATCCAGTGCCCGTGGAGACGCACAATCCTGAGCATTTGGTGTTGGTCACCGTCCCGTCTGTTTTCAGCTGTAAATGGGAGACACGAGCCGACAGAGTTTCGCCGATGAACACCTCATTCAGTGCCAGGTAAGGAAGTGTTCTCTTCACTTTGGCGTCGTACAGTTCCTGCTCGACAGGCTCCAGGAGTTCTGGCTCCAGACTGAGATGTTCCATATTGTTCCCTTTGTGCTCGTGCAGATCAATCGCCTCTGGGAGGTTTCCGTTTGAGGCTAAATGCGAGATCCGGATGCGAGAGCGGTGCATCCACGTGAAGTTGCGCTTTATGATGCGCTCAATGGCACTTCTGGTGTCCGCTGAGTAGTTCTTTGGCAACATCAGGCGTCCTTCTGACGATTCTGGGTCCGAATTAAAGCCCATCACGGGGATTTTCCGTCCTGCGGGTCCCTTGATAGAGTCCGCCCGTGTGGCTGCCATCAGAAATGTACCATCTCCGCCCACAGGAACTATCATGTCGGCCCAATTGATGGACTCTTTGGTGATTGAGTGCCTAGAGGCGAGGAAAACAAATCAGAAATTAATCTCCAAGTCTCTCTTATCTAATCTCTCGTGAGATTGTCGTTCAAATCCTGTGCAAATTAGATAAATCCCATGGATTATGAATCACGTTGTTCAATGAGAATTCATTCACTTCTTCCGGATGAAGAGATTGCCCAGAATCCACTAGCTTCATTGCACAGAAAGACATGTATTCTTATCACATATGAAATAAAGAACTCATCCTGCGCCCAGTTCTTTCCAGTTAGCCAGCACTTTCTGGGGAATCCGCGAACATCCTGCAAGCAGGCGCAAAGTGAGGTTACCTGTCAACCACTCGAACTTCCACCCCAAAATGCTTGAAGGCCTCCACAACATCTTTCCGGAAGTGGGTGTGCATTTCATTGAAGTGTATCAGGGAGTCATAATCTGTGCCACGTCCCCGAATCTTCTCCTCCAGCTGAGCTGTCGTGAGATCCGGATAGCGACGCTTCTCAAACTCATATCGAGACAACTTGGCCACAATCAGGACGCGCTGGAGGCAAAAATCCTTCTCGGGAACAACATAACGAGCAGGCAGGCCAACGGGGAAGCTAGTACGAATCAGTCGACGACACTTTACACTCCCCAGATGATTGGCCGCTGGAATAGTGGAAAATTCTCTGGTTTAATTGCGTCGAAAACGTCAAGGACAGAGGAGAGTTTCCGGGAGATAGAAAATGGCCTTGAACTTCCTGGATCGGGGCGATTCTCACCGAGGAGGCGCGGAATAAAGGATGTCCGCGTCAACATGGAGCTGGATACTACATTAAGGATCTCTGTAAAGGAGGTGGGGCGCTCTTTTCCGATCACAACCCGCCACTTTTTCACTCTCTCACTGCCAAAAAAGTACTGATAGCAAAGTGAGGTTATGACAAATGCGCAGGAGCTTTCTTCCTTCGATGAATTTCTCCTAGGAAATTGTAGAGATTTCGCAGCGCCGTGGGTGCGCGTGAGGAATTCAGCCCGTGACTGATAAAAGCCACGAAGAAATTGCACGCAATTGATGCTGCAGAATCGCGATTATTCTATTAGCAGATATACACCAACACAAAGAAACAACCATCTCTTCTCAGCCCGGAATTGCCTTTATTCTCTTACTTCTTCACGGCGGCTCCCACCTTGGCTTTCTTGGTGCCCCGCACCTTCTTCATGCGGTTCTTGCGCTCCTTGCGCTGCTTCCTGGACGGGCGCTTCTTCTCATAGAGCCCGTGTCTCTGCAGACGATGTTTTGGCTCGAACTTCTTTGCGAAGTCCAGAGTGTCGTAAATCAGGGCGAATCCCGTAGATCGACCACCGCCAAAGTCCGTGCGGAATCCGAACACGAACACAACGTCCGGGGTGACTTTGTACATGGCCGCCAGCTTGTCCCGGATCTCCTTTTTAGGCACAGACGACAAATCCGGATGGTGAACATCGCAAACCATCTGCTTTCTGCACAGCAGACGATTCGTCATGAACTTGCGGGTGCGTACGATGGCGGTTGAGTAGTTCTGCGGCATCTTTACGTGGTTTTAGATGGTCCTAGAATGGAGAAAAGCGCCCCAAAAGCGGCGAGAATGTCAATCAACACAGAAGCATAACCTCAATTTCCCTATACACGTGTAACAGCCTGAAAACCTCATAAGAACCCCATTTTTTGGAAGATTTTCACTGTATAACCGTGGCGGAGACACTGCATGAGAGATTTTCAGGAAGTACAGTGTGGAAAATGCACGGAAAATCACCTTTTTTGGGCAAAAAAGCGCATCCAAACACGCACTTTGCGAGAAATTTCAATGAAAAGGATGGCCGATGGGTTGCCCGATGCGAAGTTCCCGGTTGGCGACCGGTTCTCGATTCTTATTGGATAAAGCATTATCCAAAGTCTCCAAAAGTTCTCGATTCGGCTTCTGTGATAAATATTGTGTTAAAACTTTTCGCAGTTTCTTGGACATATTCCACAAGACAGTAAGCATTTAAGACAGTAAAAAGATATTTTAGTCACTGTGCAATTGGAATATATCAGAGAAATGTGAAATCAGGCATGAAATTAGGAAATAATTTGGTTTCTATTAGTGGTGTTTCATCAAGGTCACTGAACCACATGACTATCCAAAGTTCTTATTGTTGTTTTTAGGAATGGCTGGAGATTTGGGAATTGGAAGCATCATTCCTCAATCTCACGACACTTATCCCAACTTTATGCGACCGATCCAATTTGAGAAGGAAGTAATGCTGCATTTATGCCTCAGGGCTGAGGAGATGCAGTGTCCATCGTTCTCTGTGGCCTATGAATTCAGAAGGTTTGGCTGCTTTGACGACATCGGCCTGGAGTTCGAGTACTCCGGGACATTCTACACATTGCTTTTCCAAGTGAAGCATTCCACAAAGGATACGCCACTGCGAGATGTAGATTTCACGGAAGAAAAACGAGGAAACCCTTTCTTTTTGGACAATTTCTCGAAAAGTGTCCCAGAAAATGGAATTCAAACGAATAGAACGTGCAAATTTCTTCTCTTGCTGAACAGAAATGTTGCATTCAATCAGGTTGAAACAATTCCTGAAGAAGATGATGATGGAATTAGAGCTCTCTTCGTGCGACTCTTCGGCACCAGAGGACGAGCAATGAGATTACAAAGTGAGATTCTTGTGAAGAACAGGAAAGGAGAGGAAATCCTAATTGACAACGAGTATTTCCTAAGAAATTTCGTCATTTGCTGCAATTTACCACCTTTGGAGGATGTCCGCGCAATGAACGATCAACTTTTTCGCGATCTTTATCAAAATGATGATGTTGATTTTGCCGAGAAGATGAGAAGAAGAGTCTTTGAGGCTCTTCAAGTGGATTCACTGGAGGAACATCGACCAACGCTCAACAAGGACTTCTTCAGAGAATTAATTGGAAATTCTGAGAGACATCATGATTTCTACTCATAGAATTGTAGAAATTGTATTATTTTCATGTAATAAAAACTAGTATTTTTCGTTGGATAAAAATTTTTTGTCACAAAACTCTCCAAAATGATTTGAATTTTTGGACGTTGCGTGAGCTTTCATGCTCAGCTGTCATTCAAGCTTGAGTGTGTATTTTGTATTTGTAGAGTCTTTAGCAATGACAAAGTTTTTCTCAATTATTCTGCAATGATTGATCCTGCATTTCATAGCTTAATGGAAAAGACTTTAGAGTGCTACACTACTGTTTTTCTGAGGAAGAAACGTGAAAATTCCTAGTTAGTCTGAAGAGATCACGCGCCAAAGATGCTGGGAGTGGAAGATGAGGAGGAGGACTTGGAGGACACTCACCTGTGTATCAAATGCAATCGCACAATAATTGGCATTGAGAGTTACGTGAAGCACCGCAAAGACAAGACTTGCGGCCGCGACAAGTCCCTCACGCTCAACAGGGTGCAGGATGATGCTCCCTATGGCGACAGGATTGGCAGCGATGGCTTCGGGTTCAACTACCCAGGAGAGACACCGAAGGCCCATGAGCCGACTTCCGAAGTGAAATTCCCGACGGAGAATCTCGAGTACAATTACGATTTGGGGGCAGATTTCTTCTTCTCATCCCTGGAATTGCAGAGCAGCGCAAAGAGGAATCCCGTGAAAACGCCAGATCCTCGTGTTCTGACCAGGAAAGCCACAGCGGCGATAATGTCCAGCCATCATGAGGATGACTGGATCCCTGAGCAGCATCACAGTGAGTCTGAGAAGCTGATGAAAGCAGTTTCTGAGATTGGAGACATGAAGAAAGACCTGCCCATCTTCCATCGGGTGGACTTTCCTCAGGAGTCTGCAGAGTCCAGTTCTGAAGAGGAGGACATTGACGACTTTGGAGCACCGCCGCGGAATCACACAGGGGGAAAATGGAAGCCTCCTGATCCAGTCATACCTGCCAGTTCGCCCTGGAGGGCAGAGACTCATTGGGATGAGTCAGATTGGAACAAAAGCCACGAGACTGAAGACCCGGAAGATGACTTCTTCTCCCCGCCTTCGAATCACACCAAAGGCAAGTGGATTCCCGGATCGAAAATCACAAAGCTGGACTACAAGAACACTTCTCTGAAGATTGCCAAATGGTGCTACACATGTAACAGGAAGTTGGCGTCACAGCAAATGTACGACAGGCACTTGAAGAGCAGTCTTCACAAGAGGAAATCCCTGCCAGAGATTGAACTGGGGCAGTCTTTCATTCCCCAGCAAGCCAGGATGAGTTTCTATGCCCAACAAATGGTGGACAAGTCTCAAGCGGAAGCTGAGGAGGAGGCTAAAGTGACCAATAGGACTGCTAAGAAGAAGCCAAAGAGATTCAGGAGGAAGATCTATGCGAGATGTGAAGTTTGCCGGATGAATATGCGCCATTATTTGCTAGGAAAGCACCTGATATCGCACTATCACTACAGGAGGATGCATCTTGAGCCCCAGAAGTGCGTAGCCACGGTGCTAAGCAATATCCACCGGATCGTCCTTCAGTCTCCCTTCCAGTGTCAACCCTGCAGATTCTACGCCAACACCGAGGAGACGTTCATGTCTCACTGGCATTCTCTTGCTCATCAAGAGAGGATGACTAGTGTTTCTCGTCTGTACTGCAGCTTCTGCAAATTCGAGTGCATAGACAATGCTTCGATGACTCAACATCTGATCGGTAAAATCTTGCCAAGATTCTCAAATCCACTCTAAATGATCTCCTCTTTCAGGAATGGAGCATCAGGAAGTCATTTGGGCCATTAATCGCTCAGTTCCCATCGTCATTCGAGAGAAGATTGTGATTAAATGCGATTCCTGCACTCGTGAATTCCGCTTCAATGTCGAATTGCGTCGCCATGCGGCTTCCTGTGAACCACTTCGGAAGGAAAACAGTGGTTCGGACGCTTATCAATCCAAGTTTTTCTGCTCCGATTGCTGTCTCGTGTTCACGGCCAGGAAATCTCTCCAGAGACATGATCGAGATGTCCACTCTAAGAATGTCTACTTTTGCTCTATCTGCGAAGTGACTTTCGCCTCGGCGGAAGTGGCGAAATCCCACAGAAATACCATCGAACACAAGCTGTGTTCTGCCAAGAAGAGGTCGAGGAAGAATCTCACCAGAATCTGTTCGATTTGCAAGGCAGAGTTGGAGGACATTCTGAAGCTGAAAGAGCACATTTCCCAAGTGCATCCGGAGAAGAAGTACTCCTGTTCGGGATGCAATGAAGTCTTCATCCTGTCGCAAGAGCTTTCCAGGCACAAGAGAGACAAGAAGTGTGTGAAGAGGCCGAAATTGCAGGATGAACGTCATGATCTCTATAGCATGCTTGAGTGCAATTTGACTGAGGATGCTCAAGCGTTCGTCAAGGAAGACTACATGCTGTCTCAGGTGTTGGACACTGCTGAAGTTGAGGCGGCGCAGAAGGATCAGGAAGACGAGGAAGAAAAAGATAACTTCATTTGCAAATTTTGCAACAAGGAATTCAAGAGGAGGTGAGCAATTCTCATGTTCATCTGAAAATCACCTGAAAGTTTATTCATTTCTTTCTCGTCCCCCTTTGAAGGTTCCTCATGGAGCAGCATCTTCACGTCCATCGCGCCAGAGTGGCGTGTCGCCGCTTCATGTGCTCACAGGAGGGTTGCAACTTCACGGGCCGGAGTGCCGGAGAGGTGAGGCGGCACCTCGAGACGCACAGTGACGAGAAGAAGCATTGCTGCCACTTCGAAGGATGCAGCTACCAGGGGAAGACTTTGGCGCTGCTCGCGAAGCACCAGAAGAGCCATTCGGAGAACAGGAAGGAACACAAGTGCCCTCATTGCGCCTACAAAACCTACAATTCTTCACACTTGAACCGCCACAAGCGCATTCACAGCGGCGTGAAGCCCTTCAAGTGCCCTCATTGCACGTATTCCAGTAATACATCTGATAATCTCATGAAGCACATCCTCAAAACAAAGCTGCATCGCTCAATCCAGGAAAAGTCTCTGAATCCAAATCAGTGAAACGCTACAATTTAGTGATACTGAAAATCTTATTTCACATCAAGAACCGAAATGATTTTTGCAATGCATTTCAGAACCTAAAGAGTTTTCAATTTGCACTTGATTAAAATTCGCATTATATAAACTGTATAATTTATAATTTTTCATACACCCTAACATAATAAATCGTTTTGAAAATTCTTGTTTACAGATTTGCATTTTATTTTATTGTAGTAGCAAAATTTTTTCGTCTTGTATATATGATGATAGTCCTTTAATTGTTAAAAAATTTAACCCATCTGATTTCTTTTTAACAGCTGATGAAATAAAAGAAGCTTTGAGAGCTTTCATAGTCGTTATTACAGGGTGACATTTCAAATAAGCAAACTCGAGTTGCCAGATGCATTTTAGATGTTTTTATTGTGAAATCCGTTGGTCGAAGTGTTTTGGTTTTCCTAGGTAATTTCCTCTGTTTTCCCAAGCTTTTCTTACTCTGATTGGTGTTGGTGCATTCCAGAAATGGCTCAGTTTTCAGAGTCATTCGAGTTGAGCTTGGAAACTCTGCAGAAGCTGGAGAATTTACCTGTTATAGTGGCTCGATCACAAGGACGCCGCCTGACGCGGGCAAAAACTCAAAACCTCCCCGCAGAGCCTCCCCAGACGGTACCAGGGAGTGTGACTTCTGATGAGGAGATTGTGGAGGCATCACCCAATAACAGCTTGCATCAGCGCAAGTCTATCCGGAAGCACAAGTCGGATAGTTTGCTGGAGAAGAAGAGCAAAGTCTGCAATCTCGATGTCACTACGCTGGAACACATGTTTGAGATTGTGGATGAGGAGGAAGCACTGGAGAATCCCATTTCAAGTCAGGATATTCTGAACTTGGATCTGAGTGACTGGGAGATGTCACAAGCTTGTCAGCCAATTCAGGAAGCGCAGGAGGAAGTCTTCAATGTGGACAATGTGACTTTTGTGGCAAAACCGACAACAGATCAGGAGTTGAAGGCTTGCCGGAGGGAAGCTTCTCAGATGATGAAGGATTTTCACGAGGAAGAAGAGAGTTTTGCTCAATTCTCACAATTTCCCAGCCGAAGGGAAGAGCGATCGATCCTGGAAACATCTAGCAAACCATTGCGAACTCCCAAGGCTGCGCAGGCGAAATACTTGTCGTCCTGGGGACTTCCACAAAGTATTCTCAGTGCGTATGCCAAGAAGGGGATTACGGAGATGTTCCAGTGGCAGGTGGAGTGTTTATCCAACCGGCAAACACTGCTCGAGGGTGAGAATCTCGTGTACAGTGCTCCCACTTCCGCCGGAAAGACTCTGGTCAGTGAAATTCTCATGATTAAGAGTGTGCTGGAGCGTCAGCAGAAAGCCCTTCTCATCCTCCCTTTTATCTCTGTCGTCCGGGAAAAGATGATGTACCTTCGGGAACTCCTGGCGCCCGCTGGAGTGCGTGTGGAGGGCTTCTATGGCGGATATTCACCGCCTGGAGGACTGGATTCTTGTCAAGTGGCTGTGTGCACTATTGAGAAGGCGAACAGTCTCTTCAATCGCCTCCTCGAGACGCAGAAGACGCAGCAAGTGGGAATAGTCGTGGTGGATGAAATTCACTTGATCTCTGATCCAAATCGTGGGTATATTTTGGAGTTGCTGCTAGCCAAGATACTCTACATCAGTCAGAAGATGGACCAGAGGATTCAAGTGGTGGGAATGTCAGCAACACTGCCCAATCTGGAGCTTCTCTGTCGTTGGCTCTCAGCACAGCTCTATACGACAGATTTTCGGCCTGTGGAACTCAAAGAAATGATTAAATTAGGCACGAAAATTTACTCCAATCGCCTAGAAGAGATTCGAACGCTGGATATTAATGAGTTCTCGAAGATTTGTAGTCTTCGGGATCAAGATCAAGTGGCTCAACTGGTGATTGAGACGGTCAGCGAAGGCTGTGGTGTGATTATCTTCTGTCCATCCAAGGATTGGTGCGAGAAACTTTGTCTCACACTTGCCGAAGTGATTTTTACAGTGAGAAAGGCTGGGAAATTGCGTAATGTTATCCACCGTGAGAAGACTGATGCACTCAGGGAGGAACTACGGAACTCCCCAACGGGATTGGATGAGATTCTGGCCAAGTGCATAAACTTTGCATGCGCATTTCATCACGCTGGCTTGACCACAGAAGAGCGGGATGCCATTGAAAGTGGTTTCCGAGCGGGATCGTTGAAGGTTCTCGTCGCCACCAGCACACTGAGCTCAGGAGTGAATCTGCCAGCGAGGAGAGTTATCATCAGGACTCCGATGTTCGGTGGGAAGCCTATGAATCCCTTAACTTACCGGCAAATGATCGGAAGAGCGGGCAGAACAGGCAAAGATATTCTCGGAGAAGCGATTCTGATTTGTGATGATGCAAATTCAAGAGCTGGGAAGGAGTTGCTGACGCGAGAATTGACGCCAATCTCTTCCTGCCTCGATGCTCGACATTCTGGGAATCTTAGAAGGGCTCTTCTTGAGATTGTAGCCTCTGGAATGGCGAGCTCTCTGCAAGATGTTCAGCTATTCTTCTCTTGCACGATGCTCTGGGTAGAAAAAGGAGATCTTCCAACTACTGCCTCATACTCAGATGAGGAAGATCAGCAGAATGATGACTCTGTGAGAGATAGCGTGGCCTTTCTTCTCAAGTATGAGTTCCTAAGGCAGCAAGAAGACCTTCTTGTATCCACAAGATTAGGTCACGCATGCCTGGCCTCATCAATCTCTCCAGCTGACGGCTTCCTGCTCTTCTCAGAACTCCAGAAATCCCGCCAGTGCTTCGTTCTGGAATCTGAGCTCCACGCTATTTACCTCGTCACTCCGTTCACAGTCTGTCAGCAACTCCCAGAGCTGGATTGGTTGCACTTCCTGGACTTGTGGGAACGCTTGCCGGCCGCCTCAAGACGCGTTGGGGAACTCATAGGCGTGCGAGATGCTTTTCTGGTGCGCGCCATGAGAACGAAATCTGTGGATGCGAAGCAGCTGCAGATCCACAAGAGATTCTACACCGCCCTGGCACTTCAAGAACTAATCAGTGAAATTCCCATGGCTTCTGTAGCAGCGAAATTCAAGTGTCCTCGTGGACTTTTGCAGAGTCTACAGCAAATGACTGCATCCTTCGCCGCTATTGTGGGATCTTTTTGTCAGTCACTGAATTGGCAACTTCTAGCCATGATTGTGGCACAGTTCCGAGAGAGGCTCTTCTTTGGCATTCAGCGAGACTTGGTGGATCTCATGAGAGTGCCGAGTTTGAACGCTCAACGCGCGAGAGCACTTTTCTCAGCTGGCATTGATAACATTTTGACTCTGGCGACGACGGATTCTATAAAAATCTCAAAAATTTTGCTGGATTGCGTATCTTTTGACATGGAAGCCCAGCGAGATGGGGAAAATGATCACGATGCTAGAGAGAGAATCAATCTGAGGAAGTTTCACATTACTGGAAGGCGAGATTTGACCATTGATGAAGCGGCAAGAGTGATCAGAAGTGATGCAAGACAGATAATAGAGCAGGAAAATGGAACAAAAAATTGGGAAGATGAGGAGATCTCTAAGATCAACTCCAGTTTGGATGAAATTCCAGCTTCTCAGTCGCCAAAGAGACTTAAAAAAACACATTTAACGAGATTTCTTCGGTCCAACAAACTCTCTTACGTTACCAGAGATGAAAAGACTTTCAAGGAATTTTCCCGGAAAGTCCTGAGGTGTCCAGAAGTATCCGTGGCTGTTATTCTAGAGCAGAACAAACAGAGGAGGGCGAACATTGGCGTTAAACTGTTCAATGAAACAGGAAACTTCGAGGAATCCGTCCACGAAGACTTCAGAGTTGATGAGGACACAATTCTTAAAGCACTGGCCATAACTCACGATGGAATGGAAGTGAATATTGTGAATTTCGAGCAGGAAGCTACTAAACTCACAATTGCTAGACTCTTCAATCGACAAGACGTTCTGATTCACATGTGGGAAGCTAAAGACAAGCTTAAGATTCTGGCTAAAGTTATTCCTGAAATTCTCAACACTCGGGCTGCTTTCCAAGATCCTCAAATCGCCAATTGGCTTCTACAGCCCGATGAAGCTTCTACAAGCCTTCACAGGATTGTTATGCTTCATCGCCCGGATTTGGAAGCGCTCTTGACTCCACCAGAATCGACTAAACATCCAGCGGCTGTACTTCAAGGTGCTTCAGAAAGCGCTATTGTATTTAATTTGCGCGGAATCTCTGCAAAACTCGTGACTGTTGGCAATGGGAAACTCCTTAAAGTCTTTCGGGAATTGGAAATGCCCATCCAGTTGTCTCTCTTCCGAATGGAAACTGTTGGATTTCCAGTAAACACCCCTGAAATGGATGCCTTCGTGGCTGAATGTGAAGCTCTTATGTCGGAACTCGAGAAGAAGATTTTTACTCTGCACGGGAAGAGATTCAACCTCTCCTCTGCACGAGCTGTGGCCAGTGTCTTGGGCATTCCCAGGGAGAAAGGCAAGATCTCAACTGCCAGGAGTGCTCTTGAGAAGCTGGGAACTCCTTTGTCCAGGCTAATTATTCAGCATCGCACGCTAACAGCCGTCTTCACGAAAACCATTCAACCACTAGCCAGGAGCGTTCGGAAGGACAGGATTCACGGTGCCAGCTTCTCGCTGACTCAGACAGGAAGGATTACAATGCATGAACCCAATCTCCAGACAGTAGCCAAGGATCTCGAGTTGGATTTCGCTGAGGAAGGCGCTAAAATCCTATCTTGCCGGAAGATTTTCGCTCCAAAGCGTAGTAAATGGCTGGTATCTGCGGACTTTTGCCAATTGGAACTCAGAATTCTCATTCACTTCTCTCAGGTGAGTCTGAAGGCTTTCAAGTTTGATTATTCGAGTGGTCAGGAAGATAAAAACTCTTTTTATTTCAGGATCCAACGCTGATCCAAGTCATCAAGTCCGATTGTGATGTCTTCCGCGCTGTGGCGGCTCGCTGGAATGGTGTTCCTGAGTCCAGAATCACCACAACGATGCGCCACGATGCCAAGCAGATTTGCTATGGGATAATCTATGGAATGGGTGTCCGGAGTCTATCTGAAACCCTGAAAACCGATGAAGCGACCGCTAGAGAACGCATTGAGGGCTTCTATCGCGTCTACCCAGCAATCCGCACGTTTAGTGACAAAGTTCTCAAAGAAGCACGTCTCAAAGGCTTCGTGGAGACACTCTCAGGCAGGAGGCGTTTCCTGGAGCACATCACAAGCCAAGATTCCGCGCTGAGAGCTCAGGCTGAGCGACAAGCTCTGAATAGTATGATTCAAGGTTCCGCAGCCGATGTGGCCAAGAAAGCTCTTCTCGAGGTGCAGAGAAAGGCACCAAACGTAGATTTCATTCTTCACATGCACGATGAACTCATCTTCGAGTCTCCCCGGAATCTCATTCCCCAATTCGTGAAATCCCTGCGCGAAGGAATGGAAAACTGCATGAAATTGAGTGTTCCTCTCAGAGTGAAGGTGAAAAGCGGACCAAACTGGGCGGAAATGACAGAGATTTTGTGATACAGTGATTTATTGATCACTACTCTGTTACAGCATTGCAACAGGATTTCACTTGGGCGCCGGCAGGCCCTCCTTTTCCGCCCACTCAGTCCAGGAGCCCTTGTAGTTTTTGGCGCTGTGGGAAATCATTGAATTGTATCAACCAATAAATTGTGAATAAACATTTTTATATATGCTTTGCATGCAAACGAACGAACAAGCAAACATGTTTTTCTCGCTCCACGCAATGTTCTTACTTCACAAATCCGAGAGCTTCGGCCGCGGTGGCGGCCTTGCCTGCTCTTCCGCCGCTGCGGCAGTGAAAGATCACTTCCTGCTCCTTGGTCGGCTTGTCTCGCCCATACTTTGCCTTAAAGTCCTCATCGGACATTTTGAGACTCTCCTCCACGGAATTGACTAGAAATTCAGAATGTTTCAAGACGTTTCAGAACATTTTGCAGAGCGAGAATCCAACAAAAAGAAAACAACCCCCAACGAAATGTTAGCCAAAAGCGGAACAAGCACATTAGTCAAAGAAGCAACTTTGGCATCATTACTTGCGGAAACCCATTTGAGTGACCATTTGGGCGGCCTTGTCGCTGCGAATGCCGACTTTGCACATGAAAATGAGCTGAGAATCCCTGGTTGGCTTCCCGCGCCCAAAGCGCTCGCGGAAGTTCTCATTTGAGGTGTCGTCAGAGAAAATGGTCTGCACTTGTCCCACTTTTGCCGGGGCCAAAATGAATATATTGACAAAAGCCAGAATAAATGATAGAAATCTAGCCTAGTATCTAACCGACTAATAGATAATAACTATTGGTTGGAGCTGCAAAAAATCCGAGAGGAAATTATACCGCACAAAGATAAGTGTGAAGATGATAAGGCAAATTTGTATTTGGGAGTAAAATACACTTGTTGCGAAGGTAATAAAAAAACGTAGAGATGTTCGTCTGATCACTGTTTGGCTTTGCGCAATAAAGCAATAAAAGTTGTAACACTGTTTCTCAGGCGCAGTTAGGATTAGGAAATACATTTCGATTCAATCGCTGCGAAATGAAGAAGAACTTCTTTCATTTTTAAAGTACAACCAGCCATGCACACAGCGAAATAATTTAATAATTTATGGCCACACATCACCAAGATGACTCATTTAAATCAATAGAAATGCATGTTACCATGGTTAACAGGTTAACATACACAGACGAAAAATGAATTGTGTTTATGCTTTCGGTTGTAGGATGAAAGTTCTCGTTCGGGAGATATTTTGGGTTTTTGGCAATAGAAATTTGTTCCCAAAAACCCTCCTGTTGATTTTTTGCAACTCCTCCAAAGATTCCCAAAGTGATCAAGTCAATAAACTTAAAGGACTTTAAGTACTTCTTGAATCCCAGTCGGTCGGCAATGTCCATGGCCTTGGCGGCCCTTTCGCCCGAGCAGCACGTGAAGATGATGGGCGTCTCCGGCTCTGGCTTGGGCCCCCCAAAATATCCCTTGAAATCCCGCGGCTTCGTATTGGCCAGAGCGCGCTCGAGTCGTTCCACTTTTCTCAAAGTCATTCTCAGTCATGGAATCAATAAATCGATGGCATTTAATAAAATTAAAACTTACGTGGAATGTTGATGCTGGTGGGAATGCAGCCAGTCTCCAGCAATTCCTTGGGCTCCCTGACATCGATGAGCAGCTTCTCCGGATGATTGCAGAGATCCTTGACTTCCTCATAAGTGGCGATCTTCATAGTATCCGCTTGCGAGCTTCTGCTTCTCCTCAACGTTTCGCACGGTGAACAACTCGAGACTACGATAGAGAATGAGTGTTTTGTAGACTCCAGAGCCAAATGTCACGAGTTTTTGCTTATCTCGTGGTCAAGGCGGTCAAACAGATCCAGAACCGCGAATTTTGAACGAATAAAATCCATTCTACCCGCCAACGAATTCAAAAACGATCGACTGCACGAAAATCATCCGATCAATATATTTGCCCCTCTTGTTATCAATAGAGTGCCAAGAAAAAAAAACCCTTGGATACACGGCAAATTCATTAACATCGCAGAAATAACACGAATTGCCACAGAGGAGTATATAATCCGCAAGAAACCATAAAACTACTCCGGAATATCAATTGTCTGACCATGAAAACTCACTTTTTGTCTGAAGTCCTTTCAATGGTTGAGGCGCAGTGAAAATCGCTAATTCCCGCCGAGACACCGCAGGAAAAGCTCTATTTCCAGCGGCGAACACGCCTCTGTACACCCACCGGCAGCATCCCGTGTGATTTTTCACTAATTTCAGCATTATTTCACTGTAAATTTTGTCCAAAAGTGACTGAAAAGCTCGAACGGTGTATGACAAATGGAAGACACATGGACTGCTAGAAAATAGCGGGGAAATTCAGCGCCCGTGGCGCCGCGAGTGGCAGTTTACTGATGCAAGTTGAAGTGTATTTTTCTCCTGGAATTTCATCAAAAATCTCGCTCTAAACTCTTGTAAGTGCTCAGAAAATACGCGGAAGAGCGTGGAGGAGTATCTAGAAGTGATATTTTGCTGTTATTTTGTAGCTACGAGAGCAATTTCACGAGAAAATCCGCCCAAATGTGTCGAAAGAATTCTCTGCATTCCATTCTGCAGCATTCTCTCTCGCACTTGCGTGACGATCTCTATTGGTCTTCTCTTTCGGCTGCACAGCCGTCGTGACGTCACTATTGCGTTTCCAAATTGAAAGTGAATGAAGATTTTCCCTCAAAATCATCAATTCACGTCTTTTTTGCCGTCTTTCGCGCTCATTGTCGTTCTGGGTGGTTTTTCAAGAGAAAGGACTCAATTGGAAACCTGTTTGCAAAAGTGACTCCATGAAGAGTCGTGAGGATCTAATAATAGAAAAAGTGACATGACGTCGTGCAAAACAGGACAGAAAACCGGAATTCAGTATGATAAGAAATGTAAACAGAACTTTCTCTCAAAAAGGGTCTTCTGGCAGTGTTTTATCAGCAAAATTGGTTCGTTGACCTTGCTGCCGAACGAAGTTTATCATTGAAACTTCAATAGTTTCATAGATATAGTCGTATACTACTTTTATCATCTTTTACCTACAAATTTTATTTGTTGTTTAGTGTAAAAATGTTTCTTTTAAAATATCTGGTATGTCTAAATTTTTTAATTATGATATGAGGAAATGAAAAGCCATGTAAATATAGAAGAGGTTTCCATTAGAAAATACGATCTTTGTTTATAGAATCGCCGAATTCGCCAGATAATGCGTAGTTTGCTGTCCTGCTAGAGTTCAGCTGATTCGGTCACTTTATTTTTAGCCAGGCAATTTGCATATCTAATCAATTGAGACTCTCGCGGCCAGAGAATCTGTGGCCGGAGTTGAAGAAAAAAACACGTCCGTCTGACAAATGTCAATTAATATTTCATCCTCTCGCTTTTTCTGCAGATGGACACATAAAAGCTTGAGAGCTGAGCTGATCATCTGCACGAGGAGTGAATCTCGTGACCCGATGAAGTGCCTTGTAGAATGTCTTCGCGTCCGATCGGCCTGAGATTCTCACCGTTTGCATCGTCAGTGGCGTCGAGCGTGGCCGTGGGAGTGGCGAAAAGTATGCCCAGTGGCCACACGAGGGGAAGACAACAACAGAGCAAGACAAGCAGCCTGTCCGGGAGTGAGACGGACATCTCCACGTCCACGGAGAATCTGTCGATGGAGGAGCGCTACGTCCTTCGTCACACGGCCCGCGTTGAGCCGCAGGGCCAGGAGAATATGCTGGAGAATGTGCCTGTGGTGGCCAGCGAGGGGGCGCGATTCGCCTCCAGTGCCTCCATGGACTCCACGCGCTATCCGTCCAGTAATCGCAGCATCTCGGAAACCCGCAATCCGATCTACGTGCAGCAAGCGGGACCACAGCAAACTGCGCAGAGCGCAGGGAATGGAAGTGGGAGCGGATCCAACAGGAACTCCCTCAAAGTAAGTGCTTCTGGGACATTATCATGACTTTATTCTTATCTAACGCACTGTTTTTTTGCCTCTTTTCAGCAGGAGACGAACTCGAATCGCTCGTCAATGGACGTGAGCACGTGTTCGTACAATACAATCATCATCCATAATGACGACAGCCTGTATTCACTGAATGGGCGTGACTTCCCCAGTCCGCCGCCGTCAATCATTAAGAAAGACCGGCCGCGCTCATACGGTGAGCAGGGAATTCAGGAGATCACGCAAATCCCGGATGACTACCTCAATCAGAGCCATGTGCTGAAGCATCTGGCCAAGGAGATAAAGATCCCGGTCAATCGACGCAGCAACACTAGGGATTCCGGCGTATCCGAGAACACAGACTCCAAGGAGACGCCGAAGTACGTGAATTGGAGCGCTGAGGGCATGGCGAAGGCCAAGAGCAAGAGCCAGCCGGACCTCACGAGACTCACTGACATCGATCTGGAGACGATTGAGGCGTTAATGAAAGAGAACTCCCTGCTTAAGCAGCAACTCAACACATGCTACATGAAAGTGGCCAAAACCCAGAAGGTAGAGAGATCACAAGTCACAAGCTCAATTGATCTCTAATTTGTCATTGTTTGCAGCTCGAGGAAGAAGTAGCGAATATCTATCGTGTTCACGAGGAGTTGGTGCAATCGTGTGAGCGCAGAGAGAAGCTCGAAAGGGCAGCTAGAACGCGTCTTCAGACGGATTTGCAGCGAGTGCAGGAGTTGAATAAGGCGTTGAAGGATCAAGTGGATATTTTTCAGAGTCAGTTGTTGGCTCCGTCTGAGCATCAGATACTAATAGCTCAGCTTTTCACACAAAGTGAGTTAAACTGTAATATGTTTGTCAATGGCATTTTATAATGATTTCGCATGATAGATAAGGAATTGACAGCAGCGAAGGATCGACAGGAGATCGAATTGGCCGCGCAGAGAGCGACTCTGCAGGAGCAGAGAAATCATATTGGAATCCTCGATACGGCGCTGACGAATACGCAGCAGAATATGAGGAGATTGGAAGAGGAGGTAAGCGACCAGGTTCACTTTTTGTCAAGTTTGAAAGATAATTGATAATTTGATATGATAATTTTTTTTTCCATTTGCAGTTGAGGAAGAAGCAGACTTATATTGAGCGACTGGCGCAGTTGCATCAGCAGTCAAAGCAGCAAAACGAGGAGAGGAGGAGATATGTGTATGAGAATGAATTGAGTAAGGACTCCAATCGCAGCGGAAGCAGCACAAATAGTGAGTCCAAGTGGCAGATTCAAGAGAAGGCTAACCAGATTGCGAGGTATTTGGAGAGATTGATTTATCAAGACGACAATCTTACCGGCTTTACTGTCTTTCTGCAGATTGGAAAATGAACAGAGGCAGCTTGAGGAGGCGCAATTGCGCCAGAATGTGGCGAAAGCGATGGAGAAGACGGCCCAAGAGACGGATAGAATCATAGCTGAGGCGAAGCAGGACAAGATGCGGTATTTGGAGGAAGTGCACACGGCTCAGAGGCGAGTTAATGATCTCCAGGCGCATCTGAAGGTGCTGGAGAGTCGTCTGGCCGAGAAGGATGCTGTGCTGAGAGTGTTACAGGGTCCAAAAGCTTGTGCGGCGTCCTTTGACTCCTACAATCTGTCCACGGACAGCTTCGCCATGAGTCCGCTGAGTTACAACAGCCAGGGATCGTTTAATGTGTCCAATACGTCCTTCCACACGGCTACGAATACGTCATCGCTTCTGGATCCATCGCCGTATGGGGGTAATTCGGCGTCTAACTTCTCGCCGACGCCGTCAATTCACGCCGCAGCGACGGCCACTCCTTATGGCAGCCAAACGCCCACGCCGACGTACAACCAGAGTGCGATGAATCTGCAGTCTATGGGGAATTACTCGCCCAACTCCAGCTCTAACTACAGCGCAGGGAACTTCGATGGGGGTCACAGTTACGGACAGCCGGCGAGCACGTACGAGTCGAGCTATGACACGAGGAATAGCATCGATGACCACATGAAGAAGCAACTGGACGAGCAACTGAGCAAGGTGAGTGGCTTGGCGCTGGGCAGGTCGAGTCAGGACATTGGGGAGGGCGGGGAGGGGTTCTACTCGAATCTGCGGCAGCCACTGGTGGCGCGTCTCTTGGCCGCGCAGATGGACATGCTGCAGAAGGCGGGCAGTCGATCCAGCATGAGCAGCAACGGCAGTCCGGGCACGAAGAGTCCCACGCCAGCCTCGAAGACATCCAGGCTGTGACTGGATTGTTGCTTCCCGAAATAGGAGAGATTTTGCCAATAGTTCTTCCCATTTACTGGGGAGCTAGTCAAAATTGAGGAAAAGTAAAAGAAAATATTAGTGTTCATTGCAATTGATACAAAGAAAAATCTCTCCTAGAATTGAAATTCTCCGAATTTGAGAAAATCTAAACCTATTCCCGATTTTCAAGATTAGTTTATAAGACGATGGAGATCATTTTCACTTGGATGATCCGTGAAAACAATATAATAACTGAATGAAAAGCGATGGTGTTCAAAATCAGAGTTAAACTCGTGTGCCTTCAAGTTAGCCAAGAACTGTGCCAAAAAAAAATCCATTTTAGGAAATGAAATTGTAAATTCTACAAATAGAGTCAATTACTCCAAGTGAAAAACACTCTCCAGGACTAAAAGTAAAGAAAATGCATATTTTTGATAGGGAATAAGCATAGTTTATAGGTTGAAAATAAAGCATGTATTTATTTTATTTTCTAAAACGCATGAGTTTTATGGTTTTTGCCTCCAAAGATGCAGCAATTTTTCCAAAAATGTCGTTTTTGAACAATTAGGCAAAGTGAAAAGTCCAAATGAACTTCCGCTGTGTTGTTTGTGTGTGTTTCCTCTCCCGAATTTGCCAACCAAGAGCTTCTCAACGAATTAACCAAAGAGCTTTTACCTGTTTTTCACCCTCCGCCAGATTGAAAACATTGTTTTGAAGTGACACAAAAGTGATGTTGGCATATATTAATTCGCAATTGACCTTTACAAGTGCTCTGCAGGTTTGTGCATTAATTTTACTATTATACCTCCTATATTTGAGACGTTTTCGTCAATATTTTGGGGTTGTTATGTTGTATGGATGGCCTTTTTGATGATTTTTCAGCGTGGACTTTGCTGCTTCCCGAGCCTCACGACTAAGAAGATGAATATTCAACCTCTCCTCTCTGATGAGGTGTCTGTTCTATCCACTAACAACAGCGACGCCTTCCTTCAGGTAACACTCGTCTAGGCGGCTTTGGGGTTTTATTGGTAAAATACTAGATTTCGTTGCAGAAACTTGCTCACATTGACCAGCGCGAGCGAGAGCGCCAGGAGAAGCAGCAGGAAGTGGCGAAAAATGAGGAAATAGTGCTGCTGGAGAAGCAAGGTCGATGTTCTCAGAAAATGAGGAACAACACCATGGGAAACCTAGTTCAGGTGTCGCAAAGCGTAGGCCAGAATATGACGGACATCAGCAATATTGGTGTCTCTTCAGCTTCAAAGGCACGTAATTCTGTAATTAAACCTACAAGTCTAACATATTTCTAATTCTAGGTCCCCAAACTTGTCACGAATCTGACGCAGAACATCCTGCCTCCGAGGAAAGAGCGCGGATCATCACTTCCGCCCACTGCGAGTGCTCTGCCTCGGCCTCCGAGGGGGCTTAAGCCTCCGCGGAAAATTGAATATGATCGCTTGAGCGATTCTGAACTCAAGAAACGATCTCAGACTCCACCGAAACTCGCCCAGCGGGCCTATGACCTCAAGACGGCGAGTCTCAAGCGCGGAGACTTCTGCCAACGTCGGGAATTCTCGCCCGGGAAAACCTACATCGAAATGAAAGAGGCCATGGCTTTCAAACACAAGGACTACGGTTCTATCCCAAGACCCACTTATTCGAAACCTGATTTCACTTCCACCAGAAACTATCAGCGCCTGGAAGAGTCCTCCCCGCACAAAGCCAGTCCCAAGCGCTCCCTTTTGCCGGCAGTGACTAGGAAGCCTACTCCTGTCGCCAAGAGTTCAAGAGACTCCCTGAATTCTGCCTCCAGTGGTTCTAACAACTCCAATCACTCAGCCACAAACTCCCGCTCTAGTCCTGTTCATGCAGAGCCGGCCTATCATCTTCACTTCCACGCTAAGACCCCTCCCAAGTACGTCCCTCTCGGGGCTAGACCACTGGCGCCTCCAGTGAAGCCTCCGCCGCCTCTGCTCCACCACGCAGCGCCTCCAGCAGCCTCCTTGCCGCCGAAACCTGCCGAGAGGCGGGCCGGAAGTGTGACACGGGGTGAGAATCGCTACAGGATTCAGTTCTGAACTGCCTAGCTTTGTATTTTTCTATTGCCAAGGAATTAAATATGAAGCAATGGATTCTGGAGTGTTTTTATGAAGATTATTCAGAGCTGGAAACACTGAATCATGGCAGAATCCTGGAAACCAATAAATATACTACATATATTTGGGATTAACGTTTTTATATCAATTCTGCGTGTATCATGATATAATCAGCAAATTGCCAAGTAAATTAGCACAAATGAACTGTTGAAGAGATCGAGGAAAAGACGAAGAAGATTAATAGTAAGTATTTACTACTCATTCTCTCAAGTGCGATTTGTCCAAGGGTGGAGCTACAAAGCGACCAACAACGTTCAAGCTGTATTTGGAATCGAAACAATGTAAATTAGAAGCATTCTCAGAATCGAGCACACTGCGAAAGCCATTCTCCGCATTTCCTTCAGAGAAAGTTTACCTGTTGCTGAGATTTTACTTCGCAAAAAACCTCCTGCTATTCAATGAGTTTATTGGAGGATTTAATTGTATGTGGTTCATCTCATAATTTCCACCCCGAAAATTTTCTCTTCATTTCCCCTTTTCGATCAAATTCGCGCGGAAATTCAGTTTTCCGCGAACTCGCGCCGCCCCTTTCACGTGAGTGCGAGCGAGAGGGAGCGATTGACACAAATATCCGTGGAGAAATCTCGCGGCCGCTTCGACCACCTTGACACACTTTCTTTCACTCTCGGGCAGCTTGTGTCGATCTGACTTCAGTTTTCCTGGCCTTTCCTTCCTTTATGGGCTCTCCAGACGCTTTTCAGCGTGTTTTTTGCCCCATGCGGAGTTTCCTTTGTTTTCTAGCGCTCACGTGGCCAATTTTACTCAACGACTCATTATTTGATATATCTAACAAAAGAAATCACATTTTTGATGAAAATAGGGAAGAATTGGTAAGTTTTATTCCCTGCAGATCTTTTTTGGGCCGAAATTTTAGGCATTTTCAGAGGAAAAGTGGCAAAAAAGTTGGGAAATCTTTGTGGCGCGCTTCGAATTTCGAAACTCAGCGACGCGATGGTGGCGCTCGCGGCGACTGGTGTTGGCAAGTGAGTGGTGAATTTGGTCTCGGGTGCCCCTTCGACGGGTTTTCGTGGACAGTCGCTCGTCAGTCGAGTGGAGTCTTCCGTTGAGGAAGGTGTTCGTGTGTGTTGCTTGTCCGCCTGAGTAGAAGTCGCCTAGAGTGCCCCCCATTTTGGGGCTCCCAATCCAAATAATCCGTGAGAATCCCGCTCGTGGCATGCCCTGGCGGGCCCTCCGTGCGCCTGTTGTCCGCGAAAACCCGTGAAAAGTGTGCTTTTCTGCTGGCCTGCGTGAGTGTGAGGGAGAGGGCGCTGTTGGTGTGAATGCGATGGTGTATAGTGAATGCGTGAGTGCGAGCGAGAAGCTCTCTCGTCTACAAACACACAGTGGAATCTCCATGGAATAAGTGACGTGTTCGCCTTCCAATATCTGTGAAGAAACTCTCTTTCGCTGGCCCAAGAAGGAGAAATAAAATTTCCACAAAGCTTTTCCTTCGCCTTTGCAAGTTCTGCATCAAGTGTGTGTGTTTTTAATTTGTACCTTCACACATGTGAAAATATTGTGAAAACCAAGAGATCCCAGAAAGTGGAGAGAGAATCATTTTCGACACTTTTCCCGCCATTGATGACACTTTATATAATTTTGTGGCTTAGGTGAAAAACAAAGCATTTCGGACGGTTTCAGAGTTTGGATTAAAGTGCTTCTATTTTTTTTAAACGGAGAAAATAAAGGTGAGTTTTCTGTTTCATAAAAACTAACACGTCTCGTCTTGAGCCAATCACAACTTGTTTTTGTCATTAAAATATGCGAAGAAGTGCGCTACTTCTATAAATAGACACTTGAAAAGTCCTGAGATGGGGTTTTGGGGCGAAGAAAGGAGGGACAAAATCAAAACAGCGTGTCGGAAAAACGCCCCCCAAAGAAAAGCCAGTGTGAAGTAGAAAAACCCGAATTCTTTTGTTGTCTCACGCGAAAATCGCAACAATTGGTGTCAGACTTGGGGTATTTTCTTTGCGAATTTTAAAGACCTTTTCATGTTGATTCTATCAAATTATAAAATTGCCAACAAGCTTGACAGCGTATTTTTCGAAGAAGAATTCCAAAATTGCAATCATTGATCCGCAATTGAGGTAAATTTGTTTAACGACCTTCACAATTTCTAATAAATCTTCCTAACTCAACACCTTTCAGCCATTCGAACTCCATTTGACGCAGGTCAATAGAATTGCTGATTTTTGATTTTTTTTCCTCAACAAATCACCGTCCATTATGTGGGTGGTTTTCGATGGGACATTCTTTAAGACCATTTTTCCCAGGCCATTTAGAGTGTGTAAAGGAGAATTTTCACCATCCAGCAATCTGTCTTTTTCATTGGCCTCTTTGTCTTTCCCTCCCAAGTCACACACGGTCTTTTTTCCAACCACGTCTTCGCCTCCAATCTCTATTTTTCTTGAGAGTCTTTCGCAAAACTTTCTCTCAAATCCACTCTTGAGTGTGAAAAGAAATAAAAGGGAGACAAAAAATGGCTGTGACGTGATTTTTCACACTTTGTTTCGGGATAACCTCAATGTGGGCACAACATAACCTCAATTGTCGGTGAATTTGCATAAAATTGGGGTGAATTATCAAATTCCGCGCTAAATATGTTGCCAAAGTCACCCCCTGAGGGCGGCAGAGCGCCCGCAACAGTCACGATTTGGGAGGGGGTGGTTTTGGGCGCCACACAAGCGCACATCTAAAATCCAATAATGGGTGCTCTTGTGTCTCGCTTGGGTTGCTTTCCGTCTGGGGTGGGGAAAATGACTTGATAAATGCAAAAGTTGACTCTTTGATATCTTGTAATGTTTCGAAAGAGTGTCGATCATTCGGTGTTCGAATTCGGAATTTATGACTATTTTTATCTCTTTGTCATTTCTTCTCATTTTTCTTGTTAAGATTTCATGAGTCACACGCACACGAAATGAGAGGCTAATCTTGGAGTACGAAAAGCCTGAGGAAATCCCAAGTGGTGTGCGAAGAATGAGTCCCATTGTCACCCTAAAAGAAAGCATGGTTAATCATGCTCAATTGGGAGTCATAAATACAAGAAACTGACTCACGTTCAGCATCTTTGCCCAGTGTTTGTTTGTCTTATCACAATTGATGCCGAAAGTGTGTTTAACCGCAAAAATGCATTCTGTAAATTTTGACATGCTTGTCACAATTCGAGACATTCCTGTGAAAATCTTCCGTCATTGTCTCTTCAAGTTCTATTTTTAGATTTGTGTCTTTCTACATAGCGTTGCTACACAAAGTGGAGAACGTTTTCTCAATTGCGCGATTCACGGTAAAATCAATTATCCTCTCAAAATATCTCCAAGGAAACAATTATACATTTTCCAACGAGAATATCAAGTTGATGGAGAAGCGCATAACTAACAGAGACTCTGTTTTCTCATGTTGACAAACAGTGAAGGAATGGGGAAAGGAATAACTTGTCAAGGGATTTGTTTTTCCCAACAGTTCGCAGAAATATTGGAGGTTTTTCTTCGTCAATTCCTTCTTTCTGAGACCTTAAAGATTTAATCAACGATAAAGCCATAAAATTTGGCAGACGAGTGTTGTATTCGCTGATGGAGTGAAAAGAAAGTTTACGGTATTTTAATTTATGCAAAGAGAAGCACTCATACATAGTCAAGGCGTGAGATTTCATCGGCGTAGTTTTAAAAGATACTGTCAGAGCGAGAGAGGTATTTGTCGTGAATGAGATGGGCTGAGATGTTGGACTTTTCATCGATTGGCATTTCGAAAGTGAAAGAAAAGGTATATAAGCATAAAAACATGGTGAAGTTTTAATACATTAATTGGCTCACAGGCAATTATCGCGGGTATTTTATCAGTAAACACTCACCAGCGATTTAAGGTTAAAGCATTAAGCAACTTTTGAGGGTTTTCATTACAGCTCCAAACGCACACAATCACATTAAAATGCATATTGTTGCTGAAACTCGGTGTGGAAGGTCAGCAAAGGGAGAAATAATGAGAATAATTGAGATTTTATTGCTTTAGAGGGTGTTTTTTTTCTCTCTTAGTTCGTTGGGAAGTTTGTGTCGATCTCTAAGCCCAATTTGCAAATCAATATATTGAGGATTATGATGAGAAAATTGAGCACTTGGCAGAGTTTCATGCCTTCGTATGCTCATTATCTCGCGACTTTAGCGTCTCCACACAATTCTCTCGGCTAGATTACACAATTTCACTGTCATTCCTCTATTTTCTACGCATTTCTGTTCGATATTTCTCTGGGTCATTGAACGATTCTCATTGAGGGACACCCTCGCCATCTTCGACTCGAAAGGGAACGACAAGAGACAATCCGCGTCGTCCTCGAAGGTGGCATTATTCAATTTCCACGAGAGGAAAACAAAGAACAGAAAAGCCAAAAAGGAAGAAGTTGAAGTGAACAACAGGTAAATAAACATCCCTACTTCACATTGAGAGTCTCGTCGTCAAATCACAGATGGGAGATTAACTTTTTTGTCATCGTCTGTAGACTTTTATCAGTCTGACAATCGCATTTAAATGCGTCGCTTTCATCTGGTAAATAATCTTTCTTCGGTGATATGGATAAAATGCGTGAAGGAACGTCGAAAATGGTGAGAGCCTCTAAGGCGACGGAATTATTTAATGATTTCAATGAAGGCACAAATGATTGTGGAGGAGACACAAATGTCCTTATGAATTTTCAATGCTAGGCAGAAAGAGATGATTTTCCGCATGAAAAATGCAAAGAGTAAGAGATGGTTAACTCTAAGTTAATTGTAAAGGTAAATCCAATGGTATTACAACAGCCACCTGATATATTTCAACACAAACAATTGTAATGTGGCATTTCTCACAAGAGCCCGCGAGTGCTTTTAATTCAAGACAAGAAGGAAAAAAAAAACCTCCAACAAGATGTGTGATTCTCAAGAAAAGGGGCATAAGAAAAAAACGTGATGTACAGTAAAAGATACAGTTTTTTTCTCTTCTTATCTTGTGGCAGCGACACAGACGAAATTATTGCATGTGGCGCTGAAAAAGTTCCATTTCTATTTATTTTTCAGCAATTTCTGGTGAAATTGACTCGCTTGTTGGAAGACAGAGTTTATATATCTCTTGAATGAGAGCTTATGAAGCGTGAAGGTGAGCTTCAGAGATTTCTGCAAGTTTTTCGGAAGCAAATATTGATAAAAACGTATATTTTAATTTTATTGTCACATTTATCTGTACATATATGTATAGGGGAAGGGAAGTGGTATCCCCCGATCACCGTCTTATGAGCATCCATCGGAATCTCATAAGACTGTCCCGTGTATTTAAAAAAAACCCTTTTCACATATTCGATAACAAAAGAGGACTCAAGCTCGAATCACTTACATGTGTGGTATCTGTAACAAAATATTTACAGTTATAATTGAAGATGATTTTTTGTCATAAGTAAAACTTTTCTTAGCACTCTAGTCGATCTGGGCCTAATCTCTTGGATCTTTACGTGTTTTCTTCGTTAACCCATTAATGTGTCATTGTTCGGCGTGACGGAGAGAGAGAAAGAGAAGAAAAGGGGGAAACACTATTGTTTTGCACACTCCTTGATGGAAAGTTGAACGATTTCGTACAATAACACGGCTTGAATTTGAGGAAGTGGCAACGTGACTCAATTGTTGAGACACACAGCATAAAAAGAGGTTCATCGCGATTATTCTTACCTACAATTGAAGACACTCGCTAATTGGCCATGACATTGACGGAATTTCAACTGACAGGGTTTCCTTATCCCGTTGTAGGTGAAAACTCCCTCCGGATAAAATGAATTTCCATGGGGAAAACGGACTGTTTGATCAATTTTCACTCCACACTTTTGAGTCTGAGCTTCTTTTTTTAGCTTGGCAAATATATTCATGAAGTACTTTGTGAGCGGGAAAATTAATTCATATGTGAAAATAGTTGCAATTCAAGAGCACTTTCATTTTAATGAGTTTCTGCGGTTAATTCTCAATTGAATAACTTTTAATGATATTTCTCTTCGCTGAAATTCTATATTACAAAGTGTTGTTAGGCTTCTCATGTTCACTCTATGTTCATTTCACATGTGAGAAAATGAAGGTAAATTGAAGTTATCACTTAAGTAGAGATAAAATGCAGGTCCTGGAACGTAACCTCAATGTTTGAACTTTCTCTTTAAATCTGCCAAAATCCGCTTAAATACAGGTTAAGAGAGATTGTAAAAATGTGAAATTTTTGCCCTTTTAACCTTCACTTTTTAATTCTTGAAGCACTTTTACGCGAAAGTGCCGCTCAAGACGAGAAGGCGTGAAGATTAAGTGGAAAGAGAAGGTCTCATAATGAATCTCTGGAGGACTTCATTGCTTTTTTCCGTCTTTCTTTTCCCCAAAATGGTCAAATGATGATGTTTTAAATGCTCAAGCGAAAATCTCCCCTTAATGTGTCATTAATATGCTCGTAATTCTCCCTATTTGCAGGTTTCCAGGGGGATTTTTTCTGAGAGAAAAGCCGAGAAAATCCTCACCTGAGGCAAAAGAAGTTTTTTCATCGGAAAATAAAGGTCAGATAAAGTGAATCCATGACGACTGAAACTCGTGCAAATCAATAATTTGTGATTTTCTATGCAGACATAGTGTGCAAGAAGAGGTGGCAAAAATAGACTTGTAAACGCACAATTTAAACAATCATATAACCTCAATCAAAAGTGACATGAATTGTAAGGTTAGGTGAGGTTAGAATCAAAATAGATAGACAGAGATTTTGAGTGCTGAAACAGTGAAAAAGGTGCAAATTTGTGTAGAACTATAGGCGTCTTAAGGCGAGATATGTGGATTATCGTGGCCGCTGTTGACTTTGGACACTACTAATTGCTTCACTTGATGTTGACATAAGGTAATCAATTTGTTTTATTCATTGTACATTCATTTGCATGGTGTATTTGTGCTAGTAATTCTCGCTGTTCTCTAAAATGGGGGTTAGAAAGTTTGCTTTTATTCAGTTTCGTTGGTGTTAAAAAAAAATCATAAACTGAAAGTGAAACTTCCTTGAGAATTTCTTTGTCTTGCCTTTTTGTCGTCAAACTCGAGCCAAATTGACATGTAATCAGTATTTTTGCTCACTTGAGCACAAAAATGCACACAAGAGATGGCAAATAAATTGAATATTTATTTATAGTTCTCTCGGTCGCAACAATAACTGATATAAATAGGCAGCATTGTTCACTTTGTGCGCTAAATTGATGGTCTGGCCATAAGTGTTTTCAGGAAAATTGACAAGGATGTTTTGAATTGATTTTTCGTTAATGTAACCTAAAAAAATACAGTTATAGGTCTTGATTTTAGGATCACAAAAAGTATACCTGCCTTTATCTGACAAGTTGTAGTTTTCTTATGAATGAAGTCACTCAGAATTATAGTACAACTCCATTTTTCACCGGATTTTCCTAAATTAATATTTATTTATTTGTTTTTCTTACTCGAGGATGAATGAAGATTTGTCACTGGTGCGCGTCTTTATGCTAAATACGCCAGAAATACGTGTTTCTTTTCTCCTGTGTTTATTTTTAGAATGTGTAGCGCTTCTGCAAATTCATTTTTCATGGCACTTCCCTGGAAAAGCAGAATTGATATTTTCTGTGTATAACATCGCGCAATGTATATTTCATCCCTCAAGGGCGAGCGTACAGAAGGGTTAATTTGATGAGCAAATACTGAATATTTTGTGAGATTTCCTGCCTTTCTTCAATGGACAGAAGTCTCATCGGTCTCTAAACAGTGGGGGTTTAATTTTAGACGTTTGTTGAAAATGTATTTTTAAGCACTTTTAAACGCCATTCCATTGAGTCTTGTTTCACAAATCACGACATTTCATTTGGCAAAAAGAATTATTTTCTACCCTCAATGGAAAACTCAAGCAGGGAGAATCAAATAGAAATCCAAGTAGGAGAAATTCATCTCAGCATGAGATATTTTTCTGACCTGTTTCTCTCCCTTCTTTTAAATTGGATGAGTCTCTTGGAGGTTGATGCCCATTTTTTCCTCTTGCTCCTCTTCAAATGCTATTCATCTGTGTTTGTGTGCCTTCTTCATCGTGTATTTTATAAATAGACAACAAAATCAGACATAAAATTAGTTTATGTTGAGAGTTCAACGCTATTTTTTCTTCAACTGTTCACTTTACATCCTATTTTGGGGTGTGAGAAGTCTACAAAGTCGTGGAAAAGAGAGGCAAAAGCGAGGGCAAAAGAGAGAATTTTAACAGATTTTCACACAATTTATTCATTTCCGTATATGCTTGGCAATTTTAAAAATAGCATTTCATAACAGTTACTCAATAAGAAGTGAAGAGAAAAACTCCACGGAGTTATCTCTGAATTCAAACGTACATACATACATATACAGTTTCAATTACATAAACTGCTCGGCGGGGGGAAATTTGGTGGGAAAAGCAGAGGGACTTTGGTTGGCCGAAATTGAGGAAATCCACAAACACTATTTTGGGGGTCAATTGAGTGCCCCCCAGAGTGGTTTAACCCCCTTTGGAGAAATTTCACTATCGAGGTCACACACTATTTACGATATACACAATCTTGCTGAATCACTGCAATGCAATTGAGATGGGAATTCAGTTTCAAGAGGGGCACTGCATTTGGAGTTTTATGCCAAGAGACGACCAAATAAAAGTCACTTAATGGACTTTCGGCATTAATTTAATGGCAGTCGAAAGTGGTTTTGACAGAAAAAGTTTGCTGAAGAATAGAAAATCATTCTTTCGAGAAGAATGATTAAACTTAATCCTCTGGCAAGTTATGTATTCAATACTTTAAATTATCTTGTCACTAGATATTAGCAAATTGTAGTAGACACTTGTAAATATTTTTGAAAAATACTGTACGAATTTCCGAAGCCGTGCAAATGACAAGCTCATGAACTTGAAGCAGAAATCGACGTAATGTTTGATACTCGTTGTTTTCACTTTTTTTTTTTACTCTTTTGCAATCATTTTTATACATTTTTAAAAGTAAATTTCTGTACCTATTCTTAATTAGTCAAGCTGTTATCAAATTGTAAAATTAAATGTTATTCCGCCTAATGCGATTCCGACGAAATCAGCTGATATTTGCAAAGGGATTTGTTGCAAAAATATCCTAACCTCACATTGGCAGTTAATTAACCTTATTCCATCCTAACCTCTTCATGAGAACGGTTGGATAATAACTCAATTTGTGACTTGTTGTCTGCTCCACAGCTTGGAAATTAGCATATCTTGAATCCATCAGTGTTTGATTTAAGCACCGCCAGAAAGAAGTCAGTTGAACGTGAAAAGAGTCTGTGAATTGAATGATGTTTGGCATGTTTGAGTGAAAATTGTGTGTAATTTATGCACATAGTTAATGTATGAGGTGCTTAACATAAATCTCCACGCGCACATTGTGAATATTTGTAGGGGAGTCTCTTGGGGAGCATTTAACCTGGAAGACATTCAATCAATCACGCCCTCAAATCCAATTGGAGTGTCTCTTGAGGTATTGAGTAGCTCTTGGGGTGTGATTTTTCCCAACACGTGGTTTTCCATATGCCAGTGTAATTTTTAGCCTCAATGTGTGTTGATCTAAGCACCAGAGCTAGAAATGGTGATTTTGCAAGTGGTAGGCAGAGTGTTGAGTGTAATTGAAAATCTCTAGAATATTCATGCCTCTCTGGAGATTCTCATGCACTTTATCGCGCCATAATTCTTTTTTATGACTACCGCAGGAGCGCGACTCGATGTTTTGGAATGAGAGTCGTGAAAGTTCTCGATAAACTCTTGGAGCAAGTAGGAAAGTTGTGATGTCTAATTTTCTGATGAGAAAACCACTTTGCGAAGCTCCCTCAATTTCACCCTGTGCTTAATTGAGACAAGAGTCAGTGGCTTTTCAAGATGCTTTTTGCATTCTTCAAGTAATTTTCTGAGGAAAATCTCATCAATGTTTGAGGGTGGTTTTGTTGATGTTTACGTCTGGTGAGACACACACGCGCGTCTCAAGATTGAATTTCAGCTCACCTTCGAGACAGTGAAACATAAGACAAGTTTATTAGCCAAGCGATTGATTATCTCATGTGGAAAAATGCTCATGTCGTTATTTTTTGCTGTCGCCTGGATTTCATCTGGAGGACGTAGATTTTTCCTCTCGGTGAAGTCTTCTGTAAATATGGAGTAATTATGCTAATAATGCCCAATGAGACCACAATTATTCATTCCATTCGACGGCTGTTTGCCCCTTTCAGAGAGCCACTCTGTGAGGAAATGCTGGGGAGAGTGTTTGTGGGGGAACAGAGATGGGCTTTGACATGTCTTCCAGGAAGGTTGCCTCGATTCTTGTCAACAATTATTATTATATTGAATCTAGAGTTTTTATTTATCAGCGTTGACGCAAAAAAGGTTAGGATTTGTCTGGATTATTATGTTAGCATTGATGACATGTCAGAATGTTGACGCATTTTTTCGTAGACAATCGATGGGAATCCGTTGAAATGTAGTAAAACTGGCTCATCACTGAGCACCAGTCAAAGGGAAAACGGTCGGTCATGTAGTGAGACAACAAAGTTTAGAGTGAATTAAAAGTGTGTGGCGTTTGTGTGTGGATGTGTGTGATTTATATGCTAATTGAGTGTCGGATAAATGGATTAAGAAAAAGACTGGGAGGCACACTGAAAAGTGAGAAGAAAATGCCCCACCAAGTCAACTGAAATTGAGTGGATGATTGGAGGAAAAGTTGCCACACTAATTGTATAATTTTCAATATGTCACCCCGAAAAATTGGGTCATATCCTTGGGATGTATTCGAAGCTGTGCCTTAAAGTTGCATGATGCTTTGGAGATTAAAGACGTGATTGGGAAAAGTTCCGGCTCAGCGTGAAACTTTCCGCTAAGGGTCGAAAACGTGGGCGGAAGCGAGCCAATTTAAGGAAGGGAAAAAAAGTTGTAAAAGTATCACCGAGCAATTGTAGACTTCTTTCCCGCATTCGACAGTACAAAAAGGCATGAAAGTTTGTAATGTTTTGACCTATATTTTGCTGGTTGGAAAATGTGATTATTTTTAGATGGAAAATAAACAAGTTATGTGTGTGTTGGCTGGGTTGGAAGGCGCACATTAGAAAAAAAGAGCAGAGAAACAAGAATTTAACATGAGTATAAAAATGCAGCGGGGAATTTGAGTGAGAAATGTAAAGTTTGAGGTTAGGGAGAGTGGAAAACAAGTCACATATCTGACAGATTGATGACAGTTGTTAAATCAATCACGAGCTGTTTTTCCCACTGGGACGATACAAAGTGGTTGAATAAATTCCCGTGGAATTTCAATTTAACACACTGTTGGATGATTCTCAGGCAAGAGAGAAGCTGAATAATGATATTTTTAACTCTGTTATTTATTAATATTCGCCAAAGAGTCAATAAGACTGGCTTGGAGGCTCATTAGCGAGCGTCTATTTTCATTTCCTGACTCACATTTGTTATGATTTTTAAACCCAAAGTGGGGTTATGATTCTTGTATAACCTGAAAAATGTTTAAATGGTGAGAAAAATCGATTAAACAACTTTACAGATTCTCGCGCAAAGTCGATAGGTAATTGAAGGTTTTTCCAATCAAGGCTTTTCACAGCGATAAGCTGGTGAAAAAGGTGAGGAGATGTTGCGAAATCCAAGGTTCCGCCTTGGCCCTCTCCATTGTGCATTCGCACTCCCGCCAAAATGGCCGGGAAAGAGTCTCTCTCTCTGCTTAAAGTGAATAAAAAAAACACGCTTCAGTTTGAATAACAACGCAAACACTGTTGGCGACTGATTTTCCCTTGACATGAGAACAGCAACGTGGAAAAATGGTTGGAGCACAAAGAGGAAAATTCGTCCAATAA